TAAATGCCATAAAATATGATGATTATTTAACTCCTAAACAGAAATTCCTATAGAAAGCACATATACATGTATGTTATGTACATACCTGGAAAAGCCAAAGCTTTCAAATTAAAATTTTATTCTTTTCTTTGAAATAGCACCCCCCTGTCAGCTATATACATAATTCATTATGCATTAGTCATCTACTATAGCTAATTGATTTCTGTGTTTTATGAAATGTTTAACAACCAACAATAGAGAGGAAAATATATGAATGTCAATTGTCACGTAATAGTTTCTCTCTCAATTAATTTAACAATTTTTCAAAAAATAATACAAAAAAAGTCACATGATTAATTTATTAATGTTGTTTGAAATCTGAAAAAAATTTGGACCGACAGTTCGAAATTGAAAAAAGGAGCAATTTAAAAAAAAAAAGTAAATCTAAAAATTTGAATGAAGATCAAAATATCTAATTCGAAATGTTGAGTATTTATGTTTTTGATAAATTGTCACGCATAATGAAATAATATATATATATACATATGTACGTTTTCAATTATTTATATAATGACAAATGAAAAATTAATGTACACTAAGTACAATAATCTTATATGTAAAATAATAGTAATTATGTGAATGTATGTGCATTTGTTGTGTAAATGTAATCATATAATAAAATTTATTAAAATTATATATAAGCGTACATATACTTTAATAATTAAATACTGACATATCGTAAAATAATCATATAATATCGTTAAATAATTGATATAAGTACACAAATCATGTGCTTACATATTAAATAAATTACAATTGACATAAATAGAGCTTTCGTTTTCGTGAACACGAGGATATTTTTCATGTGTCACTGTTCTATATATATATATATATATACTTATGTATACTTATGTATATAAATATACATTAATTAATTTAGAACAACTTAAATTAAAATGTAGCAAAAATAAAAAAAAAAATGCAATCAGCATTAATGTGTCTGCATTTTAAATGATAAAAATGAAAGATACTTGTATAAATTTCAAGAGCATTAGATGTTTAATATTCTTCTTTTGATATTTATTTTATATTCGATCTATTGCAAATCGATCTTTCCAAGATAAGTAATTCATTATACTTATACAATTACAAAAATGCGTTCATGATAAAAATGTTTAACAACCAACAATAGAGAGGAAAATATATGAATGTCAATTGTCACGTAATAGTTTCTCTCTCAATTAATTTAACAATTTTTCAAAAAATAATACAAAAAAAGTCACATGATTATAGCAAACAATTATCGGATATTTTAATTACTATAATACTTTTTTATTGTAATTGACTCTTCTTTTGATTCATAGTTAATTTTTTTTCTAAAATCGTGCTGATGATGAGTATTTTTTAACGTTTTATTCTCAATTTTTCGAAACATTCACAAAATTTAGACTGTCTACCATATTTTAAAGAACCTATATTATACGTAACCTATTAAATATTAAATTTGAACAAATTTGCGGTGAATATTGAAAATGTTACCGTTATATTAGGTGCATGTGCATAACAAATTTAATAGAATATTTGCTTTAATCTAAAAACTTCATTAAATTTTAAAGTAGAAACGATAAAAATTTTAAGTAAAACCAGTAATATAAATAAAATGCTAAATTTTATATTATTTTATATATTAACCGTATTATATACTTAGTATTACTAAAGTCCGAAAAGAGAATCTTTAATAATAGTTTTAACAACAGTTATTTTGATTGTTTTTGGTGTACGTAGTTAAATACTAACAAGATCTATGTAAATCAAAAACATGTGTAACAACAAATGACTTAGAATAGAAATTAACAGATATACTTGTATATAAACATACATAAATTTTTATACCCTATATATGTAGTTACTTACATATTTATGTCTTTTTCTTTTATTTATTAAAACTGGTTTCAATACAAATTATAATCTGCTACAGCTAGATAATAATTTCCTATTCAAATACATACAACATCATCACTACTAGATTTTTCGAAGTTTTTCTATAAAAATTCATGAAATTTCTATGTGTAGGTAAATTAATCATAAATAACATTTTGATATTACTGAGTAGTTTTTTTGTTTCGTCATATTGGTACTGGTTATTCGTTTTTTAAATATTGCGTCATACAAAATGCGGTTTAGATGTATTAGAACAATTAAATATTTATAATTTAAAAATTGATAAGATAATTTTAAAACAGCAAATAAAAAGAGAAAAACAAATGCTGAAGGTTAAATTTATATTCAAATTCAAAAAAAAAAAAAATATTTAAAAATTTATTATATCAATATAAATAAAAAAGGTTGTCTTATATTTCAAGAATAAAAGATTTGATATTAAAATTGATACGTAAAAAATATTTTGAATTGGTTTTCAATAGTAGATACGCACTAGAAAAATAATTTTATATGTACATATAGTATATGTATGTATAATTATAATAAAATTGTCTAAGTCGAATATTGAAATGATAAAAACTTTTAACAAAATGGAAAGCAAATCTATAAGTAATCAAAAACAAATAATAATTTTTATATTAAAATTCCATTCATTTTATTCTCTACAAAATTTGTCTGTGAAATTTCTAGAAATTTTTAATTTATAAGATTTGCTATAAAAAATTCAAGTTATTTATTTTAATTAATTAATAAGAATCAAATTTTTATTTCAAAAACAACCAGCGCAACACAAGTAGGTATGTATAAACTGAAAATAATTATTTGATCAATTCTAAATTGTGACAAATAAATAAAATGATAATGCATGCGCATAAAAACAATACAATATTTACTCGTATTTTTTAACACTATAAAGTAACTACTTAATCTGCATACATATACACAATGTTTATTGTTATTAATTGTTTAGTTATATAGAATTTTTTAAAAGTAATTAATAATTTTATCTAATCAAATTTTGATAAATTTATTTACCTACTTATTTAATTTCACCTTTCCTTTGTTTCAGAAAGTACAAATAGAAAATAAAATTATTCTAGAACGTACCTAATCAATCTACCTGAGAATTTTATTTAACGTTTTACAAAAGATTGAATAACGTCTAAAAGTTTTACATTTTACTATTTCCATAATATTTTTTCTACTGAAATAATGAAAAGTTACAACCGATAATAACTGCTTATAATTTTTACAGTTCTATCTATTTAAGCACTAAAAAAAGCGAAAAGTTTGTTTTATTATGAATATTGTGGAACAAATTTTCATATTCGTGATATAATATTAAGGATGTTATTAATAAATGCATGTTAATTAATTTGCAAATGTAAGAGTTACCTAAATAGATTCGATTACACATACATATACCTATCTTTCTAGGTTAATCAGTTTATCTTTATACCTAACGTTAGATACCAACCAATCGGCCTACCTAAATTGAATACGTTTCTCATAAAATACTTTACAAAACTGAATTCCTAACATTTATTTCGAATTAATTCGATTTAATTGAATTATTTAGCCTTGCATAGCCATTTTTAAATACAAAAAACAACAATGACATTAGATAACGATTTAATTTATAAAAAAATGATTAAATTTTATAAATAATTAAATTTTTATCAAAAACAAATAGCTGCGAAATACATATTTAATAAATGGTAGGTAAAACAATATCGTTGCCATGCAATTTTTTCTTGAAATTTAATTGTTACATGAGAACATATACACAGATCCCGTTAAGTAAATTCTAGAATTTATAATATTGTAAAATGAAACTTAAAAAAAAAAAGATTCACGTGTTTAATACTTTATGTAGAAATCTACAGATAAATTAGTTTTATTAAAAAGAATTTCATTAAATGAATTGATAATTTTCATTGAAATTCAAATTTGTTTGAGTTTATTAACATTTTTATAAAGCTAAATTATGAGATAAATCAATGTAGTTGTTTTAATATATTCCATTTATTGGAATAAGGTTCTGAATCAAATTATAAGAGCATGAAAAAAAAAACATAATTTTAGATTTAATAATTTCTTGGCAATAAGTAAAACTACATACCTACGTAGTTCTAATTAGCAATCTCTTAATTTATCGATAATTTTCCATATATGTACATAATATAAATATTATATATCAGTAAGTATATATGTACCTACCCTACATAATTTTATCAATCATTTAACAGTTAAAATATAAAAAAACATAAGCTTATTTATTCAAGTTTTATTCTAATTCCTCAACTAAAAACATAAATTAAACTATGTAGTTTGTATATCCAGATGTATTGACTAATGAATATGTATCCACATATTATATTAAATAATGTAATATATCTAGATATGGATATATGTAAGCCTACATAATGTTCATAAGGTGTAGTGTGTAATCGTGAAATCGTGATATTGCGGTAAAACTTTAAATTTTTTCAAAATAAGTCTGATGAATTTTTATAAAGCATAAGTATGTACCTAGCTACTAATCTATACGTATATATAAATAATTCCATGCAAATACATACACATATAAGCAATTAAAAAAAATTAAAATGTAGGCAGACCCTCTTTGTTTCCTGCTATTTATTAGGAAAAAAATATATTTGATTATAATTTAAATAATCAATAATATTTAATTAAGAAACAAATTTTCTTTATAGTTCAAATAACTTACGATAATTTGTTGATAAATTTATTTAAACATATTATTTTTTTTCAATTTATACTTTTATCTCGCTGAATAATTATCAATTTTAAATTTTTATGATTTGGGAAAAATCGCTGCGTAATAATTATTGCAACTATAAGATAAATATTTAACCTTGCTCAAATTATATTTTGTAAAATCACTTTTTAAATAAACACTAAACTTAATAAAATAAAAATTTACTTAAAATTAAAAAAAAAATCAAATTTCACATTTCCACTTTTTTATTTTTTTTTTTTTTTATTTTTTTGTGAAATTTTTTTTTTTTTTTCACTTATTTAATTGCAAAAATATTTTTTTTTGCAATTTTACTTACAGTTTATTATTCATTAATGATGGCATTTTTACTTTCAATGGTTGCAATTTAATAAAAACTTGAAAACTCAAAATTTAAGTGCTTTGAAACAAAAAAATAAAATTTGAAAAATCCTTCAAAAAATACTTTTTTAAAAACCTTCTTTGTATAAACTTTTTATGACTTCTCCTTTTCTAGACAGAAAATCGAATGATGTAGAAATTAGAAAATGAAACTTTTTAGCAGGAAAAAATGGCGATTATAAAAATCGATACTCGAAAATCACATAAGACAATTGTCGTAGTTGTATATAGTGTTAGGCCATATTATGATATTTCAGAATCGATTATAATGAGTAAATTTAAAGAAAGTGCATATAAAAAATAATTTCAGAAGATAATTCCAGAAAGTAATGCAGTTTCGTCGTTGATATTTATAAAATGATATTTCCTTATAATGTATGTTTAAGGCGTCTAGGTTTTAAGGAAACCGCGTCAATAACCAAAATTTGCATGTTGTTTTGGTCATCCTGCAAGTAGTAAAATCAAGTAGATTAAGTAGAAATAAAGTAGAAATTTGCATATTGTTTGGTTGTCTTACAAGCAGTATTACAATTGTAAGTATTATAATAGCAGTAGTAAATAATTATTATTTGGTAAAAAAAACATGTTCACGAGACAAATCTTATTACTTTTTAATTAGATAACTGTCTGAAAAATTAGTTGATTGTGAAGAATTAAAATTTAACTGAATTACTTTTTGAATTTTGGCTCTTGAAACCAAAATTGACATATATTTTAATTGATAAAAAAAGACATTTTGAATTTTAGTTGAATTTAGATTTTGTTTAGCCTTTATTATAAAGCAACTTGCTGAAATACATTTTGTAAACTTGGCAATTCCTTTTTAAATCAATTATCCTCCAATTAGTATTTAGTTTTAGTAGCAGACTATTGAAGAAAATTAGACTGCCAAATAAAATAATTTATTTTAAAAATTTTCCTACTTTATCTTCCTCTAAATTGGAATCTTTAATAATTTAAAATTATTTTCTATAGTATAGCCTAAACTTTTTGTTAAAAATTGAGTGTTGGCTTCTATATTTAGGATAATTGACAATCGGGGTGAGTGAATTCGTGGACGAAAAATGTCTGGTGATCAAAAAACATTATTAAAGGGAAACCCATCTCAATATGTTAAGGTATTTAACGCTAATAACTACCCTAATTAGAGCTAAAAGAATTTTAATTTAAGTTAAATGTTGGTGGACGATTGTATTATACTACTATTGGTACTTTGACCAAATGTGATACAATGTTGAGGTAAGCATAAAAAACTTTGACTATTCCTCAGATAATAAATATAAAATCGAAATTTTTTAAAAAATTTTAGCGCTATGTTTAGCGGCAGAATGGAAGTTTTAATAGATTCAGAAGGATGGATACTTATAGATCGTTGTGGCACACATTTTGGAACTATTTTGAATTATCTGCGCGATGGTAGCGCCATATTGCCGGAATCATCGAAGGAAGTTGCAGAATTGCTTGCTGAAGCCAAATATTATTGTATAACTGATCTAGCATTATCTTGCGAAAGAGCTTTAGACAAAAATAAGGAACCTGAGCCAATATGCAGAATACCATTAATAACCTCTCAAAAAGAAGAAGCGCTTTTAATAGGTTCGTCAACAAAACCGGTTGTTAAATTGTTGGTTAATCGACATAATAATAAATATTCGTATACAAATACCTCTGATGATAATTTGCTCAAGAACATAGAATTATTTGATAAACTTTCATTGCGTTTCAGCGGTAGAATACTATTTATAAAAAATGTTATTGGATCATCGGAAATTTGTTGCTGGTCATTTTATGGTCACGGAAAACGAGTTGCTGAAGTTTGTTGTACATCAATTGTATATGCAACTGACAGAAAACACACCAAAGTTGAATTTCCAGAAGCCAGAATATATGAAGAAACATTACAAGTAAATCTATTCAATGATGTAAGAATATTAAATTTGTATATGCATTTTTAGGTTCTTTTATATGAGAATCGGAATGCACCAGATCAAGAACTTCTGCAAGCAACATCATCGGTTCGAGGAGCAGTAAGTGGCGCTGGTCTTCAACAATATACAAGTGATGAAGAAGAAGAAAGAACTGGCTTAGCGAGATTAAGATCTAATAAACGTAATAACCCAACATGATTAGCAAATCAATTGATGGTTGGTTTATTACCAAAGAAGAAATAATAAAAATATACTATAATAAAACCTATATCTTCAGACATAATACTAAATATTAGCTCTTGTAAAAGGGTATATAAAATGAGCATTAATCAGACACTACTTGTGAATAGATAATACATACATTAACAAATTTTAAATTTAAGAGTAAAATAGTGTCAAAATTAATCTCGGATTATTATATTCTCGGGAAAGATGATAGGAAAAAAATTCAAAGCAATTAATTTGGCAATAATGTGTGAAGTCGTAAAAGATGTTTGTGAGGAGAAAGATTAACAAATAATCTAGGCGACTTCTTTCCATTATCAGACTAATTGCTACCTTTTTTTTAAACACTTTCATCTTTCTAAAAGTCTGAAACCCATCTTAGTAAAATACAGTCGTCATAACAAAAGAGGGTATCTACCCTTATAAAATATATTTTCATATACGTAATATTTTAAGAAATGATAATTTGGCAAAGAAATAATTTCACACACATAAGTATTTGTTTTTCAACATTTTATTACATATTATTTTTAAAGCAAAAAATATGTGTTATTTCATTTTTAATAAATTAAAGCTTACACACGATTCCTCTAAATTTTTACAATCATTAGGAAACATATCTAGCTATATTTGAAACGTTTATATTTAAGAGTTGAATTGTGAAGCTATAAATGTACTTTAAAATAAATTCCAAACACTTGTATTATAAATGGCTAAAAAATTGTATTTAATCGAAATAAATATTTTGTTTTAAAAAAACTAATTTTATTGTTGAATGCAATTCAATTTATCAAAGAATTGAATACAGGCGCTCTGTGGATATAAGTATAAAGTGCAAAATATAGACGGATTTTTATTTTGAAAACAAAAACAGGGGGTTTTAAAAACATCTAGTTGACACGCTCGAAAGTATGCTATGAATTGTAAAAAAATATTTTAAAATAAAAATTGGTTTTTTATTAAATTTTCGAATTACATATTATAAACTAAAACGTAAGGACATTTGAACTAGCTATTAGAGGATTTAAAAGCACTGAACAGATTAAAATCGTTGATCCAAAACTGACATAAAGAAAGTCATAAAAGTATAATGCATTATATTGAATTACGTATCTTGAACAGACCTGCTTTATAATAATAATGACAAGTATGTATTCTTATTCTACTAAAAGTGTACGACATGAAGATTTCAGAATATATATTTTAAAATTCTTGTAATTTAGATTCAGTTCTTTTATTTCTCGCCTTACTGCAATTGACATCAAAATGTTTTAAGTGTTCCGCAATATTAGCCAATTTCCTAGTGTTTCTTTTCTGTTAAAAAAATGCCAGTAAAATTGTATTGTTTGGCAGTTCTATACCTTGTGTCATTTTGAAATTATTTCAACATTGACATTTGAGTTTTTAGACATTTGTCATTGAGTATCTATCTGTAAAATATTAATCATAAGATATTTTATATTTAAACGTTTATTTACAATTTAGAATTTTGTGAAATCTTAAGAAATGTATAATGGAATCGGTCTACAAACTCCTCGAGGTTCTGGCACGAATGGACATGTTCAAAGAAATTGGGCTTTTGTTCGACCTGGGAAAAAAGATAATTTAACATATAAAGCTGAAACAGACACAGCTAAGTTGGATGCAATGATAAATAAACCACCAAATCAAGAAATTTTGGATCATGCCAGAAAACGTGCGATGGAAGTTAAATGTGTTGAATTCGCTGAATTACTTGAAAAGCAAGGTTATTCTGAAGAAGAAGTACTTCTAAAGGTTAATGCATACCGACAAAAATTAATTGAAAATGAAGAAAAACAAAATCATAAAAAACGAAAATATGAGAGAGACGATTTAAAGGAAACTCATCAAATTGCTGAAGCTCAACAAGAAAAAAATGCAAAATTACGAGAGGCTTTTGGAATATCTAGCGATAAAGAAGGATCTAGTTTTGACAGAAGCAGCAGAATTGAGGAAAAATTGAACTCTAGCGTTAAGGTGCCTAGGCGCGAAATAGAGGATCAAAGTAAAACCCAACCTAATAAAAAATATGCCATTCTGCGAACTCCATCAAGAGAAAGATCTGTTGAATCCATCAAATCAAAAAAACAAAAGAAAAAAAAAGAAATCAAAAAGAAGAAAAAAAGGTCTAGATCAAGCTCTTCGTCCTCGTCTTCATCCTCGTCATCTTCCTCTTCATCCTCTTCTTCCTCATCCTCTTCGTCTTCATTTGCGTCTCCATCTTCAGTTTCTTCATCTTCAAGGTCATCTCATGAAAGAAATTCGAAAAAATCAGCAAAAAGAGGTAAAAACAATTCGAATTCGTACAAATCTGAAAAAAGTTCGTCGAGTAAAAAAAAAATAATGAAAAGAAATAGAAATCGAAAGAGATCTTCAAGTTCAAGCTCAAGCTCAGAAGAAGATTCACCACGACGGAAGTCGTCAAAAAGTAAAAAACGAACCAAAAGTAAATAATCTATAAGTTTTTTAAATGGTGGAAAACTTATACTTTATAAAATTAAAAGTCAAAATAAAACATCTGGAATCATATTTTAACAATAAAATATTCGTTTTTAATTTATTGTGTAAAATTGTATGGTAGATAACTATAATTTGAGTTTATTAAGCTAAGTTTTATGGTATCTATAACGCAAATCTAATTTCGTCTACCTTATTCAGCAATTGCAATGTATTTTGGCAGACATCTATAGCCTTACGAGACAATGCAAAGGGCGCTGCTACAAGGTGGATAAGCGGTTGTGCATGATAAAATAAAACATTGAATTTTTTAAATATTAAAACTCATTTTTATTACTTCTTTTTCTTTGTTTCTATGAAATCGAGAATTATGAGTTGAAAGGGACCACTTTGTTTTAAAGCTTTTCTCACAAGATAAACAGTTGTATTTTTCGGATTTTTGACCATGTTTTGAAGCATTATGTCTTCTATATGCAGATATGGATTGAAGTTGCCGGTTACATATCTTACAAACCAAATCTGGTTGATCATTTGGTACTGTTAATTTTTCTTTTTCAATAACTACGATTTCAGGATTCTGTTGATTCTTTTCTTGAGTTTCAATTTCAAAATCAGTGTCTGCGCTTGATAAATTTTTAGTTGGAGTAGATTTTGCCGTTTGTGTAATGATTTTAGTTCTCATATCGCAATTTGATACGTCAACAAATTCTGGGATATTTGTATTGGTAGAAGAAGGAGTGAATTGTATTTCATTTTTTGTAAATGTAATTATTTCATTAAGATCATTTTCTATTTCTTCATCTTCACTAAAAGAAATTTTTCTTTTTTTTGGTGAATTGGAATATGACTTTAAAAAATCGATATTTGTAGTTTGAGTTATACTATCTGTTGTAGTTCTCCGGCTCTCTGTAGAGTACACAGTCTGTTGTTCATGACTTTTAATAGTTTTTGCACTCGTTTTGTCATCTGAAGTTAATCCATGAACCATTAATATTTCAGCTGTTTGTAAAAAGGATTGGAGGGCGTCCTCTTTTACATTAACTTTACCTTGATACATAAATTCAATAATGGCATTGAGATCTTCGAATTTGATAAACTTAAAAATGATAACTGGATGTGGATGCGGGTTATCTTTAAAAATTTCTTTGAAATATCCACTACATGCTGATAATAATACTTTATGAGCTTTGATTCTTTTACCTTCACAACACAAGGTAACATCAACTAAATCATTATTCCTTCTTAAGAAATCGAAAGTAAAAGTGATATGACGTAAATAGTTGTTCCATCTTAGGGAATAGTGTTGCTGTTCCTTCGGCATTGCTAATTTTATTTTAAAATAATGGATTGTTTACTAAAAATATAACAAATGAATACTTATTCAGGCTAATGTCAAACCTTGTTTATTTTTTTTTAATTTTCTCAGAATATATTACGTATGTATTATGTATGTAAAATGACGTTTTAATTGTCGCGCCAAGCCACAGCGCACAGATATTTTTGTTATGTCAATTGTCATTCGTCAAGCATAATTTTTAAGCATGAGAATAGTATAAACATGTTTTTCTCTAAACAGAGTTACCTAAAAAAGTTAAAATAATGAAAACGAGGGCTAACACATTTAATAAAATCGTCAAAAAGGGCATAAATTTGTATGAAGATTAAGATCGCTAAAAAGTCGAGTTTATTTTTTAAAATAAATATACAATTTCAGCCATTGATTAAACGAAAGTTTGCATGAACTGTAAATGTTGCAGAAACTATAATAAAATTTTTATTAATTAGATCTGATTTCCAAGACTTGAGCTAAAATGATCGAATTTGTAATTTTTGATAAATTTTTTTTTGAAAAATTCTTTAAAAATGTAATATTTAAGGCCAAGTAAAGTCGAAATTGGCAATAATTTTTCAAAATTTAAAAAGTTTTTGGCTCTTCATTTTGGACACATAACAGTACCATTTGGATACATACAATTCATTCTTCTGGTAACAGTGTAAAGAACTTTATTGTTTATAAACAATTACTTGCCATAAAGAAATAAGAAAAAAGTAAATTAAAGGACCAATACCCTTCTAATTTTCGCAATGAATTTTTGTTTTATTTTGAAATTGTTATTTTTTCTTTAAACCTACTGATATAATTTTGTTAGCATATTATTTCTTTTGCCAAATCTAAGTTTTTTTTATAACAAGCGAAACTGCAAAGCGGTACATTAGTTTTAGAACAATTATAATTTTTTATATTGTTACAATCAACTATTGAGCATAATATTGGTTTTGGTGCTTCTATTGGTTCTTGCGCTTTTAAAGAAAATTCATGATCAACCGGTAAACATATAATTGAATGTTCTATATTGTTGATGTATGTCTGCATGGGTAAAGCTACTTTTGTTTGTTTATTTTTACCCTGGTTTCTTTGTTTGGTTTCTTGCTTCTTTAGTAGGCGTTCCATAGTTTTCTTTTTATCTTTTTCTCTCTTTTCGTCAGCAAGCTGTTTTCTTTTTATTGAATTTAATTGAGCTTTTTGAATTGCTTCTGCAGTCATTACTTTTTCTTTTTCTCTGTAACCTGTAGGCAATGACATTAATAATTCAGCTGCAGGATAAAAATCTGTATCTGCTTTTCCTCGTTCATACATTGCCCTTTGTCTTGCGGTCATTAGCTTTGGATCTTTAATTTTTTTTAACTCATCATCCACTTCTTCCAACTTCCCAGATTCTATTGCATCCAACCATCTTTCTTCATCACTAGATGTTCCACTGTCTCGGCCTCTACCCTTCTTTTTTTTACTGGACTTCGTCGGAGGAGGATTTTTTTGAGATGCTAAACTATTTTTGTTTTTGTCATTTGTTGGTTGCGGTGATACTGTTGTTGAAGTATTATTTGAAACGCTTGCTTGGCCCAGCGGGGTACCTAAGTCGTTAACAACATCTACTTGATCCGAATCATATTCAATGGTCTGCGAAGAGCCTGTAGGAATTGTAGCTGATTCATTAGATTTTTGGTGTTTATGCTTATGTTTTTTCTTTTTATGATGGCGCTTTAAGGTAACTACAAATTTTTTTTTAATTTTTGTGAATGCAATATACATATATAAGCTTATAAATATAATTACAATTTTCATATTCATAGTCCTTATGCTTTCCCATTTCAATTAATTTTAACTTCTATGTTTAATTTTAGTAAGAAGACTTCGTTAATATCTTTTACTTTATAAACAAATAAAAACAGATTTAATGATGATTCCGATATTTTCATAATTTTTGTTGACAATATTTAAAAACTTGACATTTACGGAAAAAAAGAGGCGTTCAGAATCTTAATAAAACTTGATATATATGAATATTTGACTTTCAAAACAAATTGTCAGACATAATGGCGACATTGATTTGACATACCGATACGATATGACAGTCTGCTGATTAGGCTAGAATTTTAGAACAAGAAAAGTATTTGTTTTTGTTTACTGAATTAAATTTTAAAAATATATAAGAATTTTATGCAGAAAAATTGTTGTAATTTAAGGCCATTATTTAATAATATTTTGAAACTTATTTTGATAATATTTTAGAAAAGGTTGATTCTAAGAAAGTAGAGTTAAGACTGTTCGTGGGATGTCTTCCAAAAGCGAGTTGAAAAAATTGTCTGAGGAAAGCCTTTTGCAGCCCCCAGAAAAAGTTTTCGACATCATTTGTAAATTGGGAGAAGGTAGTTATGGTTCAGTTTATAAAGCACTTCATAAAGAAAGTAGTTCTGTGGTGGCTATAAAATTAGTGCCAGTAGAATCAGACTTGCATGAAATAATTAAGGAAATTTCAATTATGCAACAATGCGATTCTCCATATGTTGTGCGATATTATGGAAGTTATTTTAAACAGTATGATCTATGGATTTGTATGGAATATTGCGGGGCTGGTAGTGTATCCGATATAATGCGACTGAGAAAAAAAACTTTAAATGAGGATGAAATAGCAACGATTTTGAATGATACTCTGAAGGGACTGGAGTATCTTCATTTGAGGAGAAAAATTCATAGAGATATCAAGGCTGGTAATATATTATTAAATACAGAAGGGCATGCAAAGTTAGCAGATTTTGGTGTTGCTGGCCAGTTAACAGATACCATGGCTAAAAGAAATACCGTCATTGGGACACCATTTTGGATGGCGCCTGAAGTTATAGAAGAAATAGGTTATAATTGTGTAGCAGATATATGGTCCTTAGGTATAACTGCCTTGGAAATGGCTGAAGGGAAACCGCCTTATGGCGATATACATCCAATGAGAGCTATTTTTATGATACCACAAAAACCTCCGCCATCTTTCAGAGAGCCTGACCGATGGAGTACAGAGTTTATAGATTTTGTTAGCTTATGTCTTGTCAAAAATCCAGAAGAAAGAGCCACCGCATCTACTTTACTGGAGCATGATTTTATAAGAAATTCTAAGCCACGTAGTATTTTAAATCAAATAATAGCTGAAGCTTGTGAAATTAGAGAACATCAACGCATAAATAGGCAAAGTATCAATAATATTAATCAAGCCAAAAGTATATTATACCAACAACAAAATCAAGAAGATAATTTCAATATAGAATCTAACAAGCCTACCGAAATTATAAACGATCCAGGGACTTTAGTACCAGATGCTGTACAAGATAGAACAATGATATCAAATAAAGATTGTGGAACATTGATTCCTGATAATGCGACCATGATAGAACTTGAGTCAAATTTAGGAACGATGGTTATTAATAGTGATTCCGAAGATTCAACATTGAAAAATTTGGATTCTAATCAAGAAAAATCAAAATATAGGCCATCATTCTTAGATCATTTCGATAAAAAAAAACCAGAAGAGACTGATGGCGGAACAATGGCAAATTTGAATAATAAATTGGATTTGGAAAATTCTGAACAAAATAAAATTATACAAAAAAATAATAAAATTGAAACAACGTCATCAATTAATCAAAATGCTCAAAATCCTGCAAATATATATCCAAATATACAACAACAATATCCTATTAAACCAACAGCACCGACTGATTCCATGAGTGGCCAATATCAACATCAAATGATGAATATGGAACTAGGAAATAATCAAGCTGCTTGTGCAGTTATTCCACCACCAGTTTTCGATGCAAACGATCATAAATATGAATTTCGAAATATTATTGATGGTGAATTTGAATTTTTAAAATTTCTCAGTTTCGATGATTTGCAACAAAAATTGGCTAATATTGATTATGAAATGGAAAAAGAGATTGAAGACTTGAATAAAACGTATCAAGCAAAACGCCAACCAATTATTGATGCAATCGATGCAAAAAGGAAGAGACAACAAAATATTAATAATAATTTAATAAAAATTTAAATTCATTTATTTTTTTTTTCTTTATTTTTCTTGAATTTTGTAAGGGAAATAAATGAAAAAAAAAAAAATAAGAAAAAAAAAAATGAATTTTTAAATATAAAAAGGATTAAAATAACAAATACAACAGATAATCAATTTAAATTTAAAATATTATACATATATTAATTAGAAAATATTTTGAATTTATGCAAAAGTTCTTTTTCAACAATATAATTTTTATTAGTGGAAAATATAATTAAAAATATGCTGTAGATTATTAAAATGGACTGGTTTTGTAATATAAAGAGAAATGTTTGCAATTTTTTTTTATATATGTATAGTTAAAAATTATTGGGGGTAATATGTTGAAAAGAATTTATTTGCACCATTTGTGCTGTCCAATATACGTATATAATATATAATTTATATAGGAGTTTAAATAAAAAGAAAAATAGTTATATACATTTATATTTTAGAATGATATTTCTGGTATTAACCTCAAATTAGCTTTTATACCTCAAAAACCATTAAAAAAAAAAATAAAAATAAAAATTAAAGAAAATATGAAAAAAAAAAAAAATTTAACAAATAATTTTGATTTTTTTTTTCAATTTAAAATTATAACAATAGAAATTTATAAGAAAAATTATGTATATTCAAATTTTTTTACCTAAACAATTTACATAAAATTGAATAAATAAAACTTATATAAATAATAAATAATAAGTATATGATTTTAACTAATAAAAATATTATGTTAATTAAAAAAAAAAAATTTAAACCTGGTGTTGTTATTCTTTTATTTCAGTATTTTTAAATTTTAGTTCATTTTTAGATTTGTTAGAAATTTAGATTGTGCAGTAGAATTTATTCTAAATTGGCCTCAAAATATTTTGTAATATTATTTTAAATAACTATAATTAAATATGGTTAGTTGTGTTAGCAAATGTGATTCCATTTTAATAATAATTATTTCAATAATTTCTCTCATTTTTTTAATTTATTATATCAATTTTATTTCTTCACATAACAATATATAAAATTACTTAAAACATAATCGTTTGTTTTACATATACATACATACATTATATTTCATATAAATTTATTTATATATTTTTCCTATTAATCACATAACTAGAGAGTATTAGAACTTAATATTAATGTAAAAAAAAATGTTTTTTTTCGGTTTTTTTTAATTAATATTAAGAACACAATGAAATAACATTAAAAGAAAAATATTATTATACAAAAAGATAATACAGAAGTTTTTTTTTTTGTAAAAATAAATCATAATTTTTCAAAAATATTTAATTCTGAATAAAATGTAAATGAATTAAATTTTTTTATTTTTTTAATACTTTACCTAATTTGTTTTTCATATTAATTGGAAATTTAAAAATTTTCTATTATATTTCATTAATATTGTTGGTTGTAGACTAATTAGATTATATTTAGTTATAATTCAAAAATAGATCTGAATTTATTTCTGAATTCATTTTTGAATTATAACAAGTAAAAAATATTAATTAATTAAATATTAAAATTTTAAAAAAACATTTCATTCGTTTCCTACCACACTGACATAACTCAAAATTTGCACATTTCAGAAAATATAATTTTAAAGTTTTTCAATTCTTCTCGTTCTAGCATTATTTTATAATTTATTATAAGCGGCAATTTTCAAGCTAGAATCACTAGTATTTTAACGTCACTGTTATAGCTAATCAGCAAATTATTTTTTGCTGTGTGCATGGTGAAATTATTTTGATAATTTTAAAATATTATGATTTTTTGCTACTATAAACACAACTGTATTTAAATAATTAAAAATCTAAATCTAAATGTGGCGTAATTATTTTATAATTTAATAAAATATTTTATAGAAATTATATAAAATTATTAATTATTGATATTTATTACATATTTTTTTTTTAATATTTTGATGTTTTTTTTTTTATTTTTTTTATTTTTTTTTTTTTTTGTTCAAACAATTATTATTAAAAAATAACTTAGTTTTGGTTTTTCTTATGAGGGAATGGTTTTTGTATGTAAAACTAACTATCGAACTAAAAATTTACATTTTTTGATGAAAAAAAATAAAGAAAATATAGAAAATAATTAAAAATACAAAAAAAAAAAAACATTTTCACATTTTTTAAATTAAATTTTTATTTGTAAGTACAAAGAATCATTAATTATTGCATTCTAAAATTTGTGTAAGAAAAATTTAAATATAAAAAAATTTTGTTTAATTAAATCAACTTAGCTGACTATAATAAGAAAGAAAATTTAATATTGGAATTGATTTTAATTCGGATGCAAAATCGGGCCTTAACTTAATTCGAAATAGATAGCGCAATTTTTTTTTTGATAACTCATTTTTTGTGTGTAACTTATTAAACAACAATTAATCTGTAATTTTAGAATAAATGGTTGATTTTAGAAACGGATGCTTAAAAAATTCTATGGGTACATACAATGTGTGTGGTGTTTAATTTGTTGAAGGAAACTTCAGTGTATAAGATTTTTGTTGTAAATTAAAGAAACGCTATAAACAAAAAATAATTAATTGATAATAAATTCTATTTTAAAAACTTTTTAAAATAGAATTTAAATCAAAATTTATGACTATGTTAAGAAGTGTTTGATATTATCAACCCTATCATGAATTTCTTTCAGAGTAAAAACAACTCTCCGCAAAAATCTATGAAAAAAATATTCACATGTAACAAGCAATTTGAATAGAGTTTTTTTAAATTTTCAAATCTTGAATATTTTTGTTTGAGTTTGTGTCCCTTCAACACAACTATCATGAACGGAAATTAATTCATATCCGTTAAAAGAAAATTATTTTTCTACTTTTCAAAAATATTCAAAAACTGGTTCTTAATTTGTGGAATTCTACGAATGAATAATATTTATGAATGATACTTAAAGTTTGAGTTGAAATTTATTTTGAATATAAATTTCAAATTATAGACAAATCTGTAAAATTAATTAATTTCTTTGAATTCCCACCATTCTTAAATAATTATTATTTCAATTGTTGCTTGCATTATTATGTTTTTTTATTGCTTGCATTATTTTTGTTTAATTCACAATTTTTCAAAATTTTATTAGAAAATTTTAATTTATAAAATAGAAATATTTATTAAATAGAATCTTAGAAAAAAATTTATGATTTATATACAATGAATTATATAATATGTATTTGTATATAAGTAAAATATATAAGTATATATATAGTACACATATATTTTTTAATCGGACATAAAATTGTTTTGTTAATTTCACTTAGATGGTACGAATTGAATGGCAATTTTCAAAAAAAAAAAAAAAAACAAATAAAATTCTTGACAAAATTTTCAGTTTTACAAAGTTCAGTTTTATAAAATTCCGATTTTATTTAAAAAAAAAAAAGAAGAATATTAAATTTATTTTTGCAGTTTTTGTCTTAAAACACCATAATTTTAATAGTAAAATTAAAAAAGATTTTTACTATATTTAAAACGATTTCTTATTATTTCATTTAGGAGGAATTTTGCGAGGCCAGATATTAAAAATTAATAATGGGATTAAGAATTTAAATAAAAAAAAAAATTCATGTTTTTTTTTGAAGTGAGGGAAAATATTAAATATTAATAATAGAATGTTATTCCTGGACAAAATATAGAATTCTTCAATCAAAAACTTATTGGGAAGTTTTCAATATCTAGAAATGACTAGTAAATGAAGAAAATTTAAATCCATTTGCAATTTAATCTTTGTTAATATACAATGTATAGATTTGAAAATCGTTTTTTAGTAAAAATAATTTTAATTATAAATTTAATATTTAAAAATTCAATTTTGTTTTTTATTTTATACACGAAAAAAAAAAAAAATGGTCTCTAATAACATTTAACAATTTTAATTTTTTTTTTTTTTGATTTTTTACAATTTATTTTTTTTGTGCAAATTAATATAATGATATAGGTGGTATATGATTGCCACATTTAGGAAAATTTGGTGGTACTGGTGGTAAATCAGCTTTAGTACCAATATGTATTACTAAATCCATACCAATTAATATATGAAATTGAAAATGACAATGGAATAACCAAAAACCAGGATTATCAGCACGAAATCTTAATATTGTATAACCATTATTTGGTACAGCTACAGTATCTTTAAGTGGTGGTTTAGCAAAATCACGTCTAAGTGCACCACGACGATCTAATTCTAATGCATGTTTTAAATTAATTTTTTTAACTGTTGTATCTGGTGAACGTCCCATACCAATAACATGAAATGATGCACCATGTAAATGAAATGGATGACTTAAATTTGTTTGTTGTACTTCATCAACTAAAACAATTTCAACAATAGCACCTAATGGTATATCAATTGTATGTACACATTCACAATTTGGTCCACATGCTGGTGGCCTATTATCACCATTACAAAATAATTCTGGTGGTATATCATCTAATTGTGAGAGCATTGGTGATGGCGGTGGTACATATGATATTTCATCAATAAGAGATATTAAATGATCAGCACCAGGAGCGACTATATTAAAAAAAAAAAAATGAGATAAATTTTAAGATATTAAAAAAAAAAAATATTCAAAAACAAAAAAATATACCCAAATATCTTTGATATGTATTTGCTGTGAATAATTCTTCAGGTCGATAAAAATAAAATCTGAATGGTAAGAAGATTTTTACATCTGGTCTATCTATTAGAACACCTTTATCAGCTTTTTTAGCATTTTTAAGATTACTTACGCAAATTGCGTCACGTCTTTTTATATCACAAATAGCATCTAGCGGATTCATTACCTGCAAAATATTATAAATAGCTATTTTATAATTTTTCAAATTAATAAAGAAAAAATAGAACTATAAAAGAAAATTTTAAATGTAAAAATTATTATTTATAAATAATGTAATAATAAATTATATACAATATTTAACATAATGATATTAATGTTAAATAGTACTTTGAATAATTAATGTAACAAATTAATAATATGCAAGTACAATTTGCATATTTTTAGGCAGTATATTCAAACTACTGTGCTAATTACAATGAGTATTTAGTATTTCAATTTATTGCATTCGAAGTTTTCAAATTTCTCAAAAAGGCAAATTACAGAAATAGTAGAGAAGTAATTGTAATAATGTTTAAGGCAAAAATTTAATTTTTAATATTTTTAAGTGAAATCAATCAGAATTAAATATTTTTTGTATGTGATGAAAGGGCAAATACTAGAACTATGGGAGATACATTTTCATATTAATAAAATATGAGATAATTTTGCTCTCATTGAAAATAAATTCTATTTCAAAATTGTAATTAAAATGTTTAAATATAAGGTTCTATGGTATATAAAATAAAAAAATTGAGAGAAAATAATTTTTAATGAAAGGACATTTGCCAATTTTTATTTATGTAATATTGTGTTACCCTACATATTATTATTTAGTCTATGAATTCTCAAATAATTTCATTTAATTAACCAAGTTATACTTTTTTTTTAAAAAAATTTTAAATAAAATTCGATTAAAATCATATTAAATGCAATAAAATGAAATAATAAATTTTAATTTACAAATATGATTATAAAAAAATTAAAAATTATAAAATAAAAATGAAATATTTATATTAAAATAATGACTTACTCTGGATATGGAAGTTTTGTACAATTTTGATATAAAATAACAAAATTAAAATTCTAAAATATTATTTTAAAAAAAAAAAAAACATAAATAAAAAAATAAACAAAAAAAAAATAATAAATTTTGTTTTACAAAAATTTACTATACATGATTTTTGTTTCTTTTTCTAAAATCTATAAAAGCATTGAAATATTTTAGTGAATAATTAAGATTTTATAACTTTAATATAATTCAAAATAATATTAAATTATTTATTTATATGAATTTAATATATATACATATATATATATATAATAAAGTAATACAGTTTAAGTATATATACATATTTACATATTATTAGTTATTAAATTTTTCATATATTTTTATTAAATTGTAAACTTTAATTAATAAAATATTAAATTTATTGTTAATTGAATTGACATTATTATGTCAATAGTAAAATGTGTGGTTATTAATTATTGAAATCGTGTAAAGGTAAATCAAATTTAAAAATTTTGTATTGTATTCTATAAAGCAATACTGCTATATATTGCACTATTTTTGAATTAATGAATAAATTATAAAAATATTACTGAATAATTTGAATATAGGCAACACATTTCAATATTAAACTTCATAGTAAACACAACAGTGTTGCCGTCTTTCATTTACATTTATTTTAAAATTATTTTTATAATAATTTGAATTGTAATTTTAAAAAATTTAATTAATTTTAATTTACTTCAATATAGTATTAATACTAAAATAATTAATTTCGGATGCGTAAAGATTGTTTTTATATAAGGTAAGTAAAATATATTTTTTTTAAATTATATATGTAATTTAAATTATATATTTTATTGGTTGATTATAATTGATAACAAACCTCTTTTAGGTAATTTTATAAATTAGTCAAAATTGGAATATACAATATGTTTTGCTATAACGTTTTCATAAGAGTTGGGAAATAAAATTTAACTGGAAATTAAATAAATAAACTAAAATTTTAGAGTATAATGAAATAATTAAAAAAATTGAATTTTCAAATAATTCAAATATTAAATGAAAAATGATTGCATATAATAAATGAAAAGCTTGAAAATCTTGTTTTAGCAAAATAAAATTTTAATATTAAATAAATTTATGGTTTTAATTGTATAATAATAATTTAGTTAATTGATTGTGTACGAAAATTATTCACGGATGTTTAATTTTTAATTTTAAATTGATGACGTCTAATTTTTAATTTTGTATATTTAAAAAAAAATATATACAACCAAACCATAATTTTGTTAATTTTATTATTAAAATATTAAAATTTAAGTATTAATATTAAGTAAGCATTTATATAAGTACTACAATATATTTTACTATAATTTATAAATTATGTTAGGTATAATATACTTTAACTGTAATAACATATAATTTATATACATATATGTATATATATTTACATAATATATTTATAAATAATTAATATATTTTATGTACTATAAGCTTTATTTAATTATGATGTTATAAGCTAGATTTTTAAAAAAAATATATATATATTTTTTATATATATAGAAATTCATCTGTTATTATTATATATACAAATAAATTATACACAAAATACAAAATTTATTTTATTTTTATAAAATTTTATTTTTCCTATTTAATTTAATAATTTATTATAAACAATCTATGTTACATTCTTGTGTATGTGTTTGATGTGATTTTTTTTTTTTTAAATTTTATTTATTTTTATTAAGTTTTTTTTTTACATACTTTTTATTATATATGTATATGTATATTTATTGATCAAATTTTGAAATATGAAAGATTTTTTGTTAAAAATTTAATGATTTCTTATTAAACTAAGCGTAATAATAATGAAAAATTAAAATAATAATTACATATTATATTATGTATATATGTATAAGTATATATGTATAATTTATATAAAAATATATATTTAATATTAAAGTGTGTATGTACATATAAAAAAAAAATTAAACAAACACTTATAAAGGCACATATAAGGATATAAGTATGTTTTGTTTATTTCTTTTTCAGTTATTATTATATAATTAAATAATTTGAATTATAATAATTATTATTAATTATTTAAGATTATATTTTTATACATATTATTTTTATTTGTTAAGTATATTTGTTCATAATATAAAATTCAATACAGAAATATTAAGAAGGAAATTATTTATAAAAGGAAGGGAATTATTAGTAATATTAAGAATTGAAATGAATTTAATTAAGAGAACGAATTTCAAAATTTTGAAATTAATTATTCAATAATTGTATAAAGTACATTTTTATATTAAAATTTTCGATTGAATAATTAATAAATCATATTCAAGATAAGGATATATAAAACTATAATTAGAATTCAGAAAGAAAAATTCTTAAACCTGATTCAAAATTAATATTAACATGTTATATTCGATAATCAAGTTGATAGTAAGTCTGAATTTTGGTACAATAAGGGAATAGTCTCATATTCTTTATTAAAATAAATTATATTAAGACTGTAACAATTAATTGTAATTGAATTAATTAGAATTTCTTTAAATATTTTCGATCAGTATGGTAATAATCTTAAAAAATTATTAATATATATTTTTTTGTTTTTTTTTTTGTTTTATATTTATCTCTTTTTTATATTCTTTAACAAATTAATATTTTAATTATGGTAGGTATATAAATGCAAATTTTATATGTAAGTATAAATATGGTAATGTTATTAATTTTTTAATTTAAAGAACAAGGCAACAATTGAAAAAAAATATTATATTAATATATTTTATATATATTTGTATATTATGTATGTAATTATGTTATATTTATTTAATATATTATTTATAAGATGACCAATATTAAAATTTCCGTTTTTTTATTTTTTGTTTTTGTATAATGAAACTAATAACTATAAATGTATATTGTGTATATAATAAATTTATATTATATACACATTTATGATAAATGTATTGTATATATATTATAATATGTATAATTAATTAAAAAAGAAAGAATATTTATTTGATTATTAATAATTATATGAGATGAATAAAATATTATGAAAATTTATATTATGTACAGAATTCATTTTTAATTAATTGGTACAATATGAAGGGGATAGAATTTTGTAATATATATAATAGATTTACAATATGAAAAAAAAATTTTGGAAATTGTTATTGAAAATGTTATAATTATAATTTTATTCTTTCTTTTTTAATAAAATACATATTTTCACTTAATATTTAATTATTACATTTATTTAAAATTAAACTAGATAAATAATAATTTAATTTGATTTTTTATTCATATTTATGTTTTTTTGTGTTTTTTCTTTTATTTTAATTTTAATATTAAGGTTTTGAAACAAATTATTTAACGGATTTGTTTGTTTTTTTTTTTATTTATTTTTTGTTGACAGTAAGGTTTTTTTTATAAGGTTTAAAAGTTAAATACATTTGGAGTATTAATTTAAATGATTTCAGAATAAAACTTATAATTTTACGGATAGCATTATTAAAATAGCAATGCTTCAAGTGGATTTAAAAGTTCTAAGGCATTAATATGTTTAAAATTTAAGAAATTTATATTTATAAAATAAGTAAATTCTATTTTAAATTTGATGTAGAGAGACAGAAAGAAAGAAAGGAAGAGAGACAGAGTGAGAAAAAGGTGGAGAGAAATAATTATGATTTCTTTAAAAAATTTACTTATAGTTTTGATCACTTTGAGATACAGTGACAAAAGCAATTTGCTTATAAAATAGTGGCAGTGTTTATGAAATATATTTCCCTTCAATATTTAAAAAGAAAAATAGTTTTTAAGATAATATTAAAATTAAATGTATATTCAGAAAATCAGAAATCTATGTATGTATGTACATATAAAATGTTGAAAATAATTCTTTTTTTTTTTTTTTTTTGAATTTTCATTTGAAATTAATTAATACTGTATTTCATGGTACATTATTGTTTATTTTATATATAGTTCCACTGACTTTATGAATTTTATTTGAAACTGAATTTTGAAGTTGAATTTTGAAACTGAAATTATTATTAAGATATGGTTTAGCTTCTATTTGGCATATTTTATGTAAAAACTTTTGATAAAATTTATTATAAGTCTCAAATTATTGATCAAATTATTAGAATAATTTTAAAAATGAATATTAAATTGAAATTTAAATCATTCAATGAAATGGAATCTAGAGGTGAGAAGAAAAAAAAATATTTTGAATATTTTTAATAAGAATGTAGATATTAATCTATATTCTTATTATTCAAAATCGTTACATATAGTATAAATGCACCATATAAATTAAAAGAAAATTGTCAACATTTAATATTAATATTAATAAACGTATTAGGGCCGAAATTTTACACTGCTAAACGTGTTGCCATCCTCTTATACTTTATTTAATATACATATTTCTTATATTTCTATAAGTTTTTGAGTAAACGAATTCAAAAACTTTTAAAAAAGGGAGCATTATGTGAAATATGAAGGCGTTAATATTTTGAACAGTGTAAAATAACAGAAAATTACATTATTACATTACAGAATATACACACATATTATAATAAATGAATATTCAAAAAGTAAGTGTTATCATTGTGTTTTATATTTTAATTCCTGCATCAAATGCATTCAATATTGTAACATAAACTCAATATAACACTCAATTTGTGATTTTCTTCATAGTTCATATAAATTAAAGAAAAAAAGAATTGACAATAGTTAATAATGAAATTAAATAAAAATTGATGAATTTGTAGAGTATTTGTTTTGTATAAAATAATGAAGAATTTATGACAGTTTTTTATATGATAAAAAAAAACATAGATTTGTATAATGTTAATATATATGTATAAGCATGTACCCTTTAACAAATTAATTTTAAATTATAATTATTTTTTATACATTTAAGTATACAGATTTTTTTTTCATTTCTTTACTATATAAAAATACAAACATAATGGAAAAATATACCAAGAAAATACATGAAAATAATTTTTGTTTTCTATTGTACATAATATGTATATAGTACTTTTATATAATGTACATGAAAATATAATAGTGTATTTATAGATGACTTAAAAATATATTATATTTTTATATGTATATACATAATATATTACATGTATATTTTTATATATTTATTAAAAATTGATATACAGGATTTTATTTTGTTTTGTTGTTTTAAACAGGGCTGAGTATTTTTCTTTTTCGTTAATTAATTTACATTTTTAATATACAATATACGATTTATATTTTTTATTTTCGTTTCTATTTTAAATGATTTTTAAAAAAATTAAATGAAAATGTAATGTTTTTTTTTCATTTTGTTTTATATATGAATATTTATATATGTAGGTTTATATATATACAACATAATTATATCATATATTATTATTTATTATACAAAATTTGCCTCTTGCGCCTCTCTACTTTGTAATTTACAATTGAAGTAGTTAATTTGAAAATTCGAAAATTATTCGAAATTTAATTTTTGCGCTTTGTTCGGGTCAAATTCGTGTATGTTTTAAAGAGGCATTGATATTAATATTTTCTTAACATTATATAATATACTTTCAACCAAATTATATTTATACAAAATATTATTTTATATTTGAAATAATATAATAATTTATGTTCTAAAACATAAAATATAACGTAAATGTACATGAGTTTTTTTATAGTATATTTTTTATTTACAAATATGTTTTTGTAAGTCATAGATGTACATAGGCTTCCATTACGATTCTATTTGTATAACGCATATATGCGTATGTAAGTATGTCGATTGGTACGTGCTTTACGTTCTTTTAAATGTAAATTTATTTAATTTAATTTTTAATTTCATTCATCTATTATAATTATAGTTTTTTTGATTTTTTTTTTGTTTTCGTTTTTGTCTTTTTTTTTAACAATAAAAAATTTTAGTAAGTAAATGTCGTTGTTTCTGTTTTAAAATATACACATTTATATATTAATATTATATTGATTTTTTTTTTGTATATTATTATTATATAGGTATAAATAAATATATAAAATAAAATATTGTGCAAATTAATTTATAGGTATGGGTGGTGTATGATCACCACATGTTGGAAAACCTGGTGGTATTGGTGGTAAATCAGCATTAGTACCAACTTGTAATATTAAATTCATACCAATTACAATATGGAATAAGAAATGACAATGGAATAACCAGAAACCTAAAAAAAAAAATTATAGAAAAAATTTATTAAATAATTATTAATTAATTTGAAAATAAATTGAGAATATTAAAATTAACAACATATCTTATTAGTATATTACAAAATATTAAATACTTACAAAAAATTATCACTATACATGACTTATATATATATGTATGTAAAAATTACCTGGATTATCAGCTCTAAATCTTAATACTACATAACCATTATTTGGTACAGCAATTGTATCTTTTGATGGTGGTAAATTATATTGTCTATGTAAAAGACCTCTTCTATCCAAATCTAATGCATGTTTTAAATTAATTTTTTTAACATTTGAATCTGGTGATCTACCAATACCAACAACACTGAATGCATAACCATGTAAATGGAATGGATGACTAAGATTTGGTTGTTGAACTATAGTTAAAAAAATAAATGAAAATATTAAAAAATATTTTATAATTGTACTTTGCTCCTTTTTAATTTATTTTTGAACTAAGTAGAATATTGAAAGACTATTTAAAATAAATTCCTCATAATTGTGGTTTGAAATGAAACGAAAATTTTAAGTACAATCTACTTTATTATTGCACTTCTCAATGTCAAAAATTACAAACTAATTAAACAGTTGATTGGATATTACGAATCTGCGATGGCAACACTATTTTTCGTAAAAATATTAAATTTTATTAAAACTGTCAATTTTTTATATTTACATTTTTCTAATTTCCATTTAAGTAGTCAAATAAAATTTTGATAAGAAAATTTTTATTGAAAAGTGAAGTTTCTGTTTACTTAGTGTATTTAATATTAATTTTGAATTTAATTTCTCTATATTTACTAATTTTTTTCCCACTTTAATTTCAGTCTTTCACATATATAAAATTCATTAAACAAAAATCATAAGAAATAAGAAATGTCTGAAAACTAACCTTCATCAACTAAAACAATTTCAACGATTGCATTCAATGGTATATCAATTTTATGTGTACACATGCAATTTGGACCACAATCAGCTGGTCTATTATCACCATTACAAAATTGTTCAGGACTAATATCATCATATTGTGATGTTAATGGTGCTGGAGCCGATAAATATGATATTTCATCAATTAATGAAATTACATGATCTCCGGTTGGGGCAACTATGTATGTATGCGTTTGCAAAGAAAAATTAATAGAAAAATAACCAAATTAATAGTGTTATATAAAAAATAAAATAGTATAATAATAAAATAATTAAGTTTTATCAATTTATTTTTGAAAATAAGAAAATTTTAATAATTTTTGTTTTTCAAATATTTTAGTTATTTTTGCTTGTAATTAATAATTTATACTAGCTGCGTTCAAACTACAATAACATTCTAGGTCTGTTTAAGTTCGTTGTTTTGTAAAAACCTTTAAAATTTATTTGCTTATTCAATGATTCATTCAACGAAAGAATGTATTTGAAATTTAATTTTCTGGAAATTTACGCGAAATAAAAAGACCTACTTCTACGAATGTATTCGTATTAGAAATTTTTAAATTGCCTCATTTTCAAAAAATTAATTGATATCTTAACAAAAACATTATACTTTTCGTTAAACTTAAACAAATCTATTATAAACTTACCTAAAAATCTATTATAGGTATTTGGCAAGAATAAATCTTCGGGACGATATAAGAAGAAACGGAATGGTAAGAAAATTTTAACATCTGGTTTTTCTTGTAAAATTCCACGATCAATATCAAGAGCATTTTTCAATTGACTAACACATATAGCATCGTCACGTTGTCGGTTACATTGTGCGTCCAAAGGATTCATAACCTTTTTGTTTTATTTTTTTTTCATAATTAATGTAGTATTTTTTTTTCCAAATATTGAAATTTCGTCGTTTTAATAAAATTTTTTTGCGTTATATCATAAGTTCCATACGTCATTCGTTAAAAAAGTTTCGTTTTTTTTTTATAATATTTCGTTAAGTTTAGAATTTATGATTTGTCATCCAAAGGACAGTAATTAAAGATTTTTTTTTTTTTTATTTCCATTATGATAAATATTTTACATATTTACATAAAAATGTTTATATATATATACATATGCATTGGTGGAAATAGAAATGGTGTTGGTTGTGTAAAGTGGTGTTGGTTTGTATTTATAATACATAGTGTAAGGAGTACAGAAGGATTTTTTTTGTTGTTGTTGTTGTTGATGACATCAAAATTGTTGATTTAAAAAAATTGTTTTTGGTTTTTTATACAATATCATAAATTTTTAAGAATGTGTGTGTGTGTATGTGTGGGAAAAATAATTTGTTTTTGATTTTGTAAAATAAAAATAAACATAAAATGAAACAAAAAAAAATATAATTATATTAAATAGAATTAAAATTAAAAAACAAATAATAATAAATATAAAATATATAAACAAGTTTTTAATTTATATTTACAAAATAATATTTACAAAAAATTTACAATATTTTAAATTAATTAATAATTAAAAATTAAATCTAAAAGAAATGTATTAAAATATAAGCACGAGTATAGCTTTTGTATAGAATTATTGCACAAATATATTGAAAATGTAGCTGTTATTTTAAGATTAATAAATATTTTTATGATATTATAAAATAAATAAAAAACTGCATGATAAAACTGCATGTCAATGGAATTGAATTTATATTGAGCTATGGCAGAATTCTCTTAATTTATAAACTGAATAAGCTAATCGTTACATTGTGTAGTGGTCCAACATTATTGCAATTCCAATATCAAGTTTCATTACTAAATATGAGGTTTACGCGTCAGATATAAGTTTTGGAATATATACTCTCCCATTGTTAAATATAGTGAAATTTTGAAAAATTGCATACTTCACGGCTAAGTTGAATATTTTTTTTTTGCTTTTTAATAACTTTTTTATTAAATTTTTAAATATAAACTATTGTAAATTTTTAAATATAAACTATTGGGAGTTAAGTGATTTGAAATATTCACTTATTTGGAAATACAATTTAAATTTGTAATTAATTAATTTTTAATAGAAATAATAGAAATTATTTTCAATAGTTTTTTCCATATTCGTCCAAGTTTAAAAATGGATAAATGAGTAATAAGCTATCACATTATGTATGTATAGGTACATATATAAGAACGGTATACATATACAGGAACGGTATGGTAAATCGATAGTTTATATTATAATTAATTTTATATATATTAATAAGATAATCTCGAATTACCATATCGGTGATCTGTTGAAACAATTATTATGAGTAAACAATTATTGTAAACTTATTGAGCAATAAAGAAATATTGTTCCCACAGAAAATTTTCCCAATGTTCATATATATATGTATACATTATTATTTTGCATTTATATATATATTTACTTTACTACTATTATTATCATTATTATTATTATTCAATAATAAGTACTATATAATTATATAAATACGACTTATTTTATGCTCATGTAGTATAATTTAAATCGACTTTTATATCACGATGACCTTTAACTTATATATGTATGTATAGTCAATAAATTATAAATTAATTTTATTTCTGAATATTTTATTAAAATATTAATATATTAATGATTTATACATATGTATATGCATATAGATTTATTAAATTTTGGGTGTGTGAGTTTTTTATATTTAAAATCCATTAATTTAATAACTTAATAATTTATTTCATTATTTTTTTTTTCTTTTTTTTATGAAATTAATAAGACATTAATTTTTATATATATGTAATTATATAGAGTTTAAATATTATGTTTGAATTAAAATCAGCATATTAACATGCTTATTTGTACTGAATTTAATTTTCTCATAATATCTTCTTAGTTAAATTAATTTCTCACATTTTTTGGCAAAATAGGTATATAGACATGTATATGGGACATATACATATCCCAAACATAGGCATGTATATGGGGAAACATGTGAACAATATATGTTTAGATACATTTGCATATAAACATCATTTGACTATGAATATCATTTGATTTCACTCTTCTAGTAAGAAGAAAGTGAGTAAAAATTGGTTTTCTCCTATTTAAATTTAAGTTAAATAGCGTGTCGCTCTCTAAGCTCACATTTTGAGCTTTGATAGTCGCTCTTAATATGACTTATATGTCAAAAATATTACTAGTACAAAAATCTCATAAATAATTAATTTGAATTACTCATATTTTAATTGACATTATACAAGCATAGTTCTTGTAATATTTCTGTAGAAAATTTTAGCTAGAAGGGCATAAAAAATGATTTAATGTTTAAATAAAATCATTATTTTTAATTTTATTCAATTTCATATTTATTATTATAAAATCACGTAAAAATTTTCAATGGAACGTGTGTAAACAATATCGATTCTGATCGCCAGAACTAATTTCATAAACTTTTATTCAATAAATATTAAAAATTACCGTTAAAATTGAATATTCTTTTGATGTTTTTGTTTTTCTTTGTTTTATATTAAAATGTTCCTTGAAGCAATTGAAATTTTTTTTCATATTAAAATTTATTCTTTTTCTTTTCGCATTTTTTTTACACCCGTTGTTTTGATTTATATCAAAAAAAAAAATCACGTGGGCTCAAAAGTCAAACCCATTCTATATAACTTAGGTATTTCATTTCTTAGAAACACACATGTATATAAACCTTTTTTTGTTCCAAATACATAAAATATATATGTAAATAATATTTATAAAAAGTTTTTGAATAGAATTAATAAATAATTGACAGCAATGTCGATATATTTTGACAACAATAGCATTACACTATTACCCTTAAGGTAATTTTAAACACAATTGTGTAATTCAGGCAATTATTTATATTTTAAAGTAATTTCTATATACAGACAGACAGACAGAGTGTGCTAGTTGTATCACAAGGGTATTGTTTGAAATTGAGGTGCTTAGAAATTTGTTTCATATATATCCTGTGTAGGAGTGTCATATTTAATTATTCAAGTGCAATTTTAAAAATATTTTTATAAAATTATACCTGTCATAAATTAATATGTATACACATCTGTTAATCAATGTGTTTGACTGATCAATATGAATTGTTTTTAATAATCCAGGGGGTTTCTAAGCTAATCGTTAAGATCTTATGTTTAAATTCAGAAAAATATACTTTTGATAAATACTATCACTTAATATAACAGTTGCGATACCAAAAAGAAGTCACTCATTCATGTGTGTGACTTAAAAATTGTGATATAGAAAATAGAGATCAGTATATTTTCAAAGACAGTTCATATTCAGATTCAGAGTCGTAATATTATTAAAACAATAGTCCCCTTCTACTCAAATAACATGGTATGGAAGTTTTTTTTAATTAAAATATAAGATGTAGCGAGATTAAACGTTTGAGAAACTGTCATACGGTAGAGTTTTAACTAAATTATATTAATTTTTTAGGCATTACATTTTTTTTTTATTCATAAATTTTATTTTTTTTTCATTTTGGAGAACCTTATATTTTTTATATTTAGTATCTAATAAACATGATATACTTATAATAATATACAAATATTTGTATAAATTCCTAGGAAAAAAATATAAAAGTTTTCAAATTTTCGTTTTTTTTTTTTTAAATAAAGAATTTTGTATAGGTTTTATGCTCCCGTTATGGTTGTAATTTTTATGTATTATGAAATAAAAAAGTTAAAATTTAAGAATAAAGTGTATAATTTGGCGGCCACAATTCTTTTATGAGCATATTTATATGAACAAATACTCTGATAAAATTTCAAAACAATTGCTTAAAGATATTTGAATTTTCCATTTAATACAACTATTTTGAATTTCTGGCTCCAAATTGCTTTATTTGGGTGTAATTGTATCAATAATTTAATAATATCAATATTATTTTTAAGAATTTCTTGATTATGATTCATATGCCGAAATATTGAGAAAGTCAATTTGATAAACTTAAACCCCAAATTCATATTACAATAATTAGGAACATGTATTGCGTGAGCAACGTGTTTCCTATAATTATTTTCTCTACTTTCATTAAAAAATTTCATTAGAAAATAATCAAAAATACTTGGTAATTTGTTTGCTATAAAGAACTTACATTTTTCCTAGAATTGTAAAAATATTTAATATGGGAATTTTAATTGACTAATTTAGACCTAATTATTAGTTTTTTTTTTATACACGATAATTACAAAACTAATTATCCATAATTATTTTGGGAAAAATATTAATTCACGATATAATTGCATTTATTATTTAATTGATCTTAATTAAGCCTACAGACATAAATAAGAATTAGGAAACAATTAAACCCTTTTAATAAGGAAATTAATTAATAATGACGAATAACACTTATATGAATACAATGTAAGTATTGTGAGGTGAAAAAATTCTCAGAATAATGAAAATTAAGTTTTTATTGTAAGAATTTTCATTTATTAATTACATTTAAAAATAGACAAATTCTTAGGACATGAATTATTGTTAGCAAGAGAACTTGTGTTCTGTGAGAAAACTCTCTTTGAGAATTATTGTGAGTAAGAAAAAAGTTCTGTGAGAAAACTTGAAAGATTTACTATAATTGTAGGAGACTGTGGAGAATTGATTAAAGAAGAAAATCTCTGAGTATAACTACATAGTCGATAGTCCGAAGAAATACGAATGACTGATTAGCACAAGTTATTTATATTTATCGGGAAAATAAATACTGTGATAATGTTTTAAATGTATTGTTTAGTAATTACATAAACAGAACTGGCTCACATTGATAATAATAGCTTTGCCCCTTAAATGCAACAATAAGTCATACAATTAGATGTTGTTCCACTAAATATATAAAGGTGTAGGTATTTATTAATTATAATCACAGTTGCTATGTAATATTCAAATTAACTCATATGACCACATTATATAATGACATTAATAATAGTAAGCACTTTGAAATAATCATATATTTTTACATATAACTGAATTTATTATAGAATATAAAAAGACATACCCTATCATAATAAAATTTTGAATTAATTACATTGAAACCTAAATAAACTACACTAATTTATTGATATAGATCCGACTAGATTTCAATTTAATTGAATCCAATACTCTTTAATATGGCTATTATTACAAAAAAAAAAGAAACAGTAATTCCGATATGTTATCAACTTTTTTTTAATATACTTAATGCCTAACCTACTGTTTAATATAAATTATCTCTATTAGATTTTCCTTAATTTCAATTTAAATATTATTTATTTCATATATAATTTTTGAATAAATAATATTAATTCACACAGAGTTAATTAAACAAGTTTTTATATTTGATATAGCTTTCATATTATTAATTGGATAGCACGAGTCTCTTAGAATATTGGGTGACTATATAACATAAAATATAATTGGATTGTATATTATGTTTTTCATCACAGGTGATCTAATCTATATATATATATATATACCTTGCCTATTTTTTCTCAAATCATATGTAATTTATAATGATGTTTTATTGTATATACGAATGTAATATAAATTATTGCATAATATTCAATTTCAGAGATCTTAAATAATAAATTTTATATCCGATATGTGTACTATTTTGTTTCTACATAAGAGCCTACATAACGTACATATATAGAATTTCTGTCTAGAATAAATTTTATCTAATGTAGAATTTTTTTTGTATTTATTTAAATTTAACGGGTTTAGTTCTCTTCGTATTAGAAAATGTTTTGATAATGTAAAGCAGTACAGTGAAATCCGTATATTCAGAACTTTTAATTAAAGAAGTTTTTGTTGCTTTGCCTCATTTAGTTTACATCTCAATTTTTTTTAACAGAACTTTTGTTAGGTCAATCGGAAAACAAGTGGTCAGCTACGATACTAAAAATGATTCTCAAATTTTAGCCTAATTTTAAGTATTTCAAATAATTACTATAGACAATGTCAAATTCTTACTTTATTAAATTTCAAAACTTCAAATGATAATTCAAAACTTTTAGTATGAAGGCAAATTAAATTGTTTAAACGATTAATTTTTTTTAATTAGTATAGAAAAGTCTTCTTAATTACTTTAATTTGAGAGAATTTTAAATCTTAAAATTTCTTAAATACATACGTGCATTGCATATATACAAATTAAGGCTATGATTTAAAATTTTAAATTTTAATTTGTTGGGTTTCATTTCGAATCAGTATTAAGAAATGAAACTGAACTTTATTTATCAATCTTTAAAATGTTGAACTGTATTTACCACAAAATTTCAGTGAAAATTGCCAAAGTGGGTGAAGACTATAAACAATAATGTGCCAATGGAGAATGAACACACATTTTGATGAAGTTCGATATATTTTAATCTAAGTTTCATTCATAATGTTTGTGTTATAGTGAATAATGTTTGGTAATCGTTGAGTTATAGTGAATAATGTTTGGTAATGACGTTGAGTTTTGGAGTCAAAAAAGTTCAAAATTGCATATTTTTTTATTTCTGTCAACTGTCTTCAACTGTATTTTTTCAAATGTGAACAATCTTTTTTTTGGATTTTACTGTACTCATTATATGAGCAGGCATATATAGTTCTTATATATTTAAGTATGTTTAAGTATAAGTATTGTTCTTTTAGAATATTATAATTTAATTAAATTCTCACGATCTATTTCAATTCATAAAAAATTATTTCAATGCAATTTGTGCAATAAATTCAATTGTTTTTTTTTTTTTAGATTTTACAACCATGTGCACATTTGTACATTAACGTGCTCATATTTACGTTTCTTTTGGAATTTTTTTTTTAGTTTTATTTAAAAAAAAAAAATTGAATATATTGTAATGAGAATTAAAAGCATTATTTATATACTGTTAATTTTTATATAAAATTATTTATTATTTAATAAAAAAATCAAAAAAAAAAATTTATTCTGAAAAAACGAAACAAAAAAAAGAAGTGAAAACAAAATCTATTCTATTACTTACCACACCCTGTGGTATACCAACATCATATGTTGGTGCTGGTGATGAAGGTTGATATGGTCCACGAGCATATCTTAAAATAGCCAATTGTTGTGTACGTCTAATACCACATTCACCTAAACCTCTTACTTGAATCCAATATGCACCAACTGGTTGATCGGCTGTGATTACAAAATCATAACGTTCACCTACGATGACAATTTATAAACACAATATTATTATTATTGTTATACATGTATGTCTACTTATAATATGATTGTATAATAGTATAGGAAATTAGAAGAATATAACACATTTTATGTATTATGTGTGTATAAGAATTAGGTGTAAACAGGCATGAGAGAATTTTTTGAAAAAATAAAAAGTATAACAATAATAATTTTTATTGTTAAGTACATGTGTAATATATAAATAGAATGCTTGTGACTGTTATAATTTATTATTTATTGAAATTTTATTTTAAAAATAATTTTTTTTTTTTTTGAAAAGGAAATAATAAAATCAATAAATAAATAATGCTAATAGCATTTTTTCATTATATATGAATAATCATGAGATCATTAATACTTAATTTAATGCTGTTATACACTGTTAATACTGTACTATAATATAATTAGAAGTATAAATATCATTTTGATGGAAATTTGAGTGAATTTATTTTTTTAATTTATATTGTAATGAATGAGATATGTATATCAGTTACATGATTATATTGAAATTTTATTACAGAATTTTTATAATATAACAGTTTCATGAAAATCATTAGAATACTTCCTGTAATCAATTTGAATTTCTGCGAAATTTTAATATGAATACATATAGGCAAATTGGCTATGGCGACTAAATTTATTATAGTGTAATTTAAGAGTTAATGAGACATGATCGAGGTTCGATTTCATAAAAAATAATTCAAGAGAAGGTTAATTAATGAAAATTTTATGATTATGTGCCTATAGTAGTTTTACATTACGTATATAGAGCTTATTAGGGTATGCTCTATTTAAGTAAATTCAATTTAATTGTATTTCTCATATGATATTTAATTCATACAAACACAAGTACATCATATTAAAAATTAGGAAAATGTGTCATATAAAAAAAAAATATTTTCGAAATACTTATTTTTTGCTTATGCTATTTTACGATTGAACTCGGCCACTTTTAGAAATTCCGGGATTTATAACATGTTTATTGTGGTTTCGAGTAACTACTTATAAAGCGACTTGTGGCTTGATATATGCTAAAAATTAATTAATTTATATTGAGATTAATAATTCAGAATGCGCTTATGCTTAGTATTCTATTTCTACAAAATTTATTTGAAAGTTTTGATTCCAATTGTCCAATGAAATTTATTTATAAAATATGCATAAAATGGACCATTAGTCATTAATCAATAATTTTAAAATTCATAAATCAAATAATCACCATGCTTGCATGCATAATTTAAAATATAATAAGTAGACCGCTTATGCATAAACGTACATAAACAGTAAAAAAATAAATTCAAATACGGTAAATGTTATACAGATAACATTCTTGGGGTAGAACTAAAAATAATTATTTATGCCGCGCTTTTTTTTTAATTATACGCTAAATTATAAAAAAAAAATAAAATGTTAATTTTTGTTTTTTTTTTTTATTTCTGTTCTTGTTTTCTTTTTTAAATTGTTTAAAATTTTACCTGAGAACGATATTATTGTATTAACTTGAACCGGATGTACTGGTTCACCATCAGTTGCAATAACTGTTAAACTATGTCCTTCAATTGTTACTTGTGCTGGGCATACTGATGCAAATGCATTTATCATACGAAAACGATATCTACGTCCAGGTGTTATTGTAAATATTTCCAATGGTGTATTTGTCATAAAACCAGTATTTGGATCTCTAAATTGTCCTTTACCATTTATTAATACTGATTCAGGATCTTGTCCGGTATTAACAGCTAAACGACCTGGATAACGTTCAGCAGCATCTTCATGTAACCAATCACTTATTAACATAATATGTGTTGTTAAATCAAAATCATATAAATGTGAATTTGGATCTCTTGATGGTGGCTGACGTACAACTATACTACCATATAAACCATCAATTTTTTGTAAACCAGTATGTGAATGCCAAAAATGTGTACCAGCATTACCAGTCCATTGATATCTAATTTTATTAAAATTTAATTAAATTTATGAATATTTATTAAAAAAAAAAAATTAATTTAATTAAAAATTTGTACCTAAATGTATTGCCTTGTTGTATAGGACATTGTGTTATAAATGGTGCACCATCATAATATTGTGAACCACGTTGCCATATACCATGCCAATGTATTGTTACTTCCATACCTTCCATATGATTTTCAACATCAACAACAACTTTATCATTTTCACATACTTGTATACTTGGACCAGGTATCATACGATTTGCTGTCAAAATACCACGTTCAACACCATCAGCTAAAACACATTGACAATGACTCCATACAGTATTTGTAGCATTTGGTGTACAAACTTGACATGCACTTCACAGTTTTAATATATGAAATAAATAGAAGAAAAATAAAATTTTTTATTATTTTAATAATTAATAGCGGTTATTTTACGGTATTTAATGGTTTATTATATATATATATTGTATAACTAATAAAATGTATAACAATTATGATTTCATAAAATATTCACAAAACAATTTAATACAAAAACGATTTCAAGGATTTTGTTTTGCTTTGCTTTTATTTTCCAAAAGGGATTTTGTTCTACATGATTGGCAGAACTTTAATCTTTTGGATTATGTTTTTTGCTTGCGTATGGAACCTGTTTTTTTTGGACTAATTTGCTTTGTTCCTGTTCTTTTTTTCTTAAAATTATTTAGTTCAGGTATATAATAAATTTTTATTTTAATTATTATACTTATTCATGTTATTTAAAGTTCATTTACCGTAAAATTTCTAGTATAGAAGTAGTCTGGTTTTAAACCCTGCTATTAAAAAATTATAATTCTAGACTTAAAAAATTCAAATAAGTGAACAATTTTCTGTGTTTTGAATTGTTATTCAAAGTCAAGCATTGATCTATATTATGTAGATAATATGGACCTTTCGATGTATTACTTTTATAAAAATGTAGTGATTTCCTTCTTGATCTGTAGAACAGTGCAGCTTCGACAGGATTGTGGAGATACGTAATGAATGATATTAATTTTACAAGTTGATGCGAGTGTATAATAGACGTTTAACTTCGGAAACCCAATTTCACAAAATTTTCACCATTCTTATAATTTATTCTTTCGAATTTATTTCATAGAAGATCTGTGGATTGATTTATTGCTTTGCCTTAGATAACGTTAAAAATACGGTTTCCTAAATCGGAGAATCATATTTATGCTGAATACTGCAAGTTTTATAAATACGTAGTTAATATTCGGATTATCATTTTTCCTGATTAACAATTAGCTTTAAAACCTATGTGTTATTTTATTACGTACTAAGTAAAGTTTATTGGTATGTGCTTCCAATTAAGTCTTATAACTTTTATGGAACAATAATCAATTTTCTTCACATTCAATTAATTCCAAAATTGGTATATGCTCTAGTTTATTGTCTGTCCCATTATATTTCTGTTTAACTTACGTCAATAATGCGTGTACTTGGATGGAAAATAACACCAAATTGTATTTGAGAGTGGTGTTTACAAAGTTACCTTCATCATTTTATTCATTCTTATGATGCATACATATGAAAACATGAAAGCAAAACATGAAAATAACTTAACAAAACTTGTCAAGTACATATAAGAATAAAATACTGTAAGAATTCTGCTAAAATTTTTAACATTTAACATAATTGAAATATTTATAAATTTTGCACTCAAATCATAGTGTAACATTTTGGTAAATAAAATATTTATTTATTTTATACCAAATCGCATATTTTGTAAATCTGGAATTCAATTTTGGATCTCTAACAATTTTGTTTTAAAAAATTTTAAAAATCATTGTGAACTTTTCATGTTTATATATAAAATTATAATCATAACAGATGGCCTTAAATGTTATATAAATTTTTGATATTAATTGTCCACATACTTTATGCCATTACAATTTCTATGAATTACATGTAGGTATTACGCTTACATTCATAAAATGTTACTAGCAATTTGTGTGCATAATTAAGCTTTGAAAGTAAACATGGAAAAAAGTGTTTATAATTTTCTCAAAGTTCATTTTCCTGAGCTGATATTCTTTAAGTTCAACTTTAAAAAAAAAAGACTGGAAAAAAATTACACAGGTCTTCCAAATCTTTTTTTCGGCAACGCATTTGATTTCACTCAAAATATTTTTAGCATCCACAAATTTTCTTCGGACTTGCATCTATATTTATTTTATACGGCGGCTATTAAGTTTGACTTCCAAGAATATATTGTCCAGTAAAATTTGCAGAGTTCGGTGGTATCGTTTATAATGTCAAACATTGCCAAATACATTATTATATTTGGCAACTTCCGAAAAGTTAAGTATAATTATCAATAAATACTCGGACAACCCAATCGATTATTGCAATACTCTATACTGACTATACAGATGAGTTAAATGTTAAAGGCAGGTTAAAACGAATGTGTTTCAAATGTTTTTTAGCAATATACAAATATTTCTAAAAGAAGTGTCCCTAAATATTTTACTCGGAATTCAATAAATTTTTGTATTGCCGAAATATTATTTGGAAATCTAACAAATGCTAAGCTTGCCCAAATTTTTGTTAACATTCACATACCTGAATAATTTCGTTTTTTATTATTATTTTCTTTGATTGTTTCTACTTTTAAATGACAATTAAGGTATTTCAAATAAATAAGTATAACAAAAAAAAAATATAAAATTTTTTTTTTCACTAGTACTCGTAACTACACCCATAAGTTTAAGAAAAAAAAAAACACCGACTTATACTTAAGATATCGCAGTGACCTTGCAATTATATTGTGCTCATGACAATGCATAATATTAGAAGTCTGCATTTAATTTAAAATTTTTTTATACTTTAATCAATTTTTTGTAATATTTTATTTTGTGTTATACTGTCAGAATAATTGTAATTTTATTTTTTTTGTTTTGTATTGCTTTGAGGTCTTAGAATGGGCAAAAACCATAGTTACAAAATAACATTTACTTGAATGTATTGTAGTTGTTTTGAATGTATTAGTAGTATTTCTATGTAATATTTTTATTGTATTTTTCCAAATTGGAAATTATTATTATTACCATTATAATTATATTATTATTATTATTATATTACTGTTATTATTGTGGAATTACATTAAATGTTAGTCTTTGAGTATAATTTTATCCATTGAATTTAAAGTTTTAATTTAAGAGTATATGAAAATATAATATTATTAAAAAATAAATTAAAATAATAATAATATAAAAATTATATTGAAAATTATATTTAATATATTTTATTAGAATTTTAATGGAAATCTTGTATTTATGTAGGAATGAATATATTTTATTATTTAATAAATTATAGAGCTATTATAGAATTATTTGTTCAAGTAAATATTATTATTATTATTGCTATAGATAAAAGTATAATTAGATTTATTAGATTTTTAATAATAATTAAGAAATTCGATTATTTTATTATGATCATTAATATTTTTTTAACTTTTGGTGTTATTTTTCAAATTGATAATATTGAGAATATAATAAATTTTATTATATTAAGAATTTTTCGATTTATGGCGTTACTATTCATGTGTATTGCTCATTTAATTATATGAGAGTAAATACGATATAAGGAAGGTATAACTACTATATAAACAATTTGTTTTTTTTTTTTTCAAGAATTTCAATAGAAACGGTCTAGTTTTGGACCGACTTTTAAATTGAGTATACACCGCAACAGGGCTAAAAATTGAGTTAAAATTTTTAAGAAATTTATATGAATTCAGAATTTATGATCACTCACACCTTGTTATTGGGAAGTGTTAAGTAGGTATTGCATAACGAAAAAAGATTTTTTACAAATTAATTCTTTAAAGTTAAAAAACATTCATAAGACAAATTATTATAATGTAATTAAAATTTTTTAAGAATTATGCGATTCGACAGAGAAGATATATGTGAGAAGAGAATATATACATATGTGGGGAGGGAATTTGTGTTGTGATAATAAAAGAAAATTTACCGCTAATAAAAATTTGCTGAGAGAGAGAGAATTTAATTTGAGCTTTATTGGACAATTTTAAGCATTTGTACATAATATGATGATCACAGGTTAAATTTTTCAAGTAAAATTTATTATACATTAGAAGCAAATTACCTTATTATATTTTTAAATATAAAATTTCAAATTGTGTAAGTAAACGAAAGCAAACCGAAGAATATTCGTTTTAAAATTAGCCCACTTACTTTATTCTATAACCTGTTATATTACTCGAGTTACAAGGAAAAACGTATTAGACAACCTTCAGAAAGACTAGTTTTTAGTCTTAATATAGATCGAGAAGAAGCATGTCAAGAGGAAAATTTTCTCCATTGTTTTTCTGGAACACTTCTATCACTAGTATCTATCGAATCTATGCTCGAGATTGATTGTATATCTTTAAGAATGGTTTTCATTGAAATACGTTTAGTTCTACGAGCAATATCGAATGTTCTTTTTAAAAATTTAAATAATTATATTTATGCTCAATTAATATTTTCCTATAATTAATATGGTTTTTAAAAGTTGTGAATCCAGCCAATGTGATTTGGTTATACGGATTTCATATATATATATATACATAAACTGGAGAATTTATAAAATTTCAAGTAGTTCAAGTCAAAGGTTTTGCAATAAAAGATTCTGCATTTACTCTGATTACATTTTGCCTGATTATAGAACTGAATTATTTGTTTGAATTAATTACAAAATTGCTGTATAACTTACTTAACATTTGTATATAGTTAAAATTAGTTAATCATTAGTTACGATATAAATTATGTTTAAGAAACTTTTTATCTACGTATAATTTTTTCATATTTAATTCTAAACGAGCAAATCTTCAAGGTTTTAAAGTTTTTTTTTTTTTTCAACGAATTTTATTCTTTGTTTTCATTTTTTTATTTTATTAAAATAAAAAAGAAATCTACAATTTATAAATATGCTTTATTTTTTATTGTATAACTATATAAATAAAATGAAAAAACAATACTAATTCAAATTCGATCAAGAAATAGAAAAAAAAAATTACCCATAAATACCCACGAATCGAAAAGTAAATCAAAATTGCACAAAATTTATTGTTGTTTATTGTTTTTTTTTTAATTTTTTTAAATTTTTATAACCTTCAAACTATTACAATGTTGTAATTAATTTACTACAATAATTTGGTTTGTTTTTTGTACTGCGTTGTATGTATGTGCAATACAAAGTACCTACATTTCTTATTTTTTGCTATTTATTTTTCTAAGTCTATCATTCTAATATACCGTCTTAAGATATTTACAAAGTTTAGAGATTTTAAAGTTATTATTAAAAGCTATTATTATTTGGTTACTAAGGGTATATATAAGTAAATATGGTTAAGTTAGTTTTGGTTAAGAAAAAATAAGTTTTAAAAATTAAGTTAGAAAAAAAATTATGATACGGTTTTAATTATGTGCAGGTGCTATATTTTTATTATATATAAAAATTATAACAATAATCTAATAATTATATTTTGGCAGCATTATAATTAAATTGTGAATTTTGACAAATCAAATATTTATAGATAATTTCCGCCAATGAATGAACCTTTTAATTAAATTATTCTACGGTTAAATTTTTGCGTCCTCGATTAATATTTGAAGTAAATAATTTTTTTTACAGATTTTTAATTTTTTTATCATAATAATTATTTATAAAAATAAAATAAATTACAATCAACTATGTTATTTTTAGGAATTATTTTTATTTTAGCACTTATTTAGAGATGTAAAAGAATTTTTCGAAAAGATGCAAAAATATTTCTAATATAAGCTCGAAATTTGTGTTATAGACATCAAAGGAACTATAATTAGCTTAATTAGATTATTATTAGCTTAATTAAACTATTATTAGCTTAATTAAAGCAGGCCTAATGCTTCATGATCATTTTCTAATTTAAAAAAATTTCAATATATTACACTTTGCCTTGTGTTTAAGAATAGTAGCTTATTGTTGTCACTTATTGGAATTGGTATGACACAGATACTTTCATTCCACTTAGTAAAAAAAATTATCGGTTAATATTTAAAGTGTAAAGTCAGCCCTTACTATTTCTAGGAAGTAAGAATATGTCTGCAATTACCGAAGTAGTCAAATATCTCGTCGCAGTATGTAGTTTAAATGTTATATCTTCTTAAATAAGTATAATAAAGTATTCAATATCGAATATAATGGGTATAAGGGCAATTACTTTTATTTTAACATTTTATTTCATAAGCTATATAATGTTATTTTATAATTAAGCTATATAATGTTAAGTATAATATTATTATGGTGACCTGAACAGAGTTTGAATCCGAAGTTCTTCGGTTAAAGAACTGGTGCCATAACTATTGCACCATTAATCAGATATCGCCTTTTACATTGCTAATGCAGAAATTTTGAAGAAGTTTACAATTCCAAAATTTTTCCAAAGAGAAAGCAAGCAATGCTTTTTAAAAATTTTTAGAATACTGTGTTACAATGATTCTATCTTAAAAACTAATTAAATAATTAATTTTTGAGAATAAAAAATATACAATAAAAAATAACTTACGCTCCTAAAACTGTATAATATTCCAATGTAAAATGATAATAACATATTCTTGGTGGTTCACCTTCACGACATGCTCTTGCACATTCATCTGGTGCCGATAATAATGGATTTCTTCTTAATTCAGCTGTTGCAGATGTTGAAAAATCTAAATGTCTAAATGGTGATTTTGGATTTGGATTAACAACAGTTGATCCAAATGCACTACCTAATTTTCCATTTGATAAACTTTTTCTAGAATTTGCAATTATATTATTACTATTACTACTACTGCTGCTGCTGCTGCTGCTACTACCACTAGATGATGTATGTATACTATTATCAGTTAATGGTATTGGACGTGGTATACCACCACTTAATGATGGATGTGTTTGGACTAGTCCATGTGTTGCCGAAAAATAATTTGTATCTGGTGCTGGTGTTACAGCAACATGTGATTGCCACCATGATGCTGCCGTCGATTGATCTGTTTTATCATAATCTGCTGTTGTTACTACAAAAAACAAAAAAAAATAAGAAAAAATTAAAAATTTTTGTTACATTTTTTTTTTAATTCTATATTGTATTTAAGGTTATAAAAATATAAAAAAAAAATAATTTTTAAATATAATAAAAAAACGGTAATGTTTTCTACACCCATTTTAATAATTTTATTAAATTAGTTGTAAAAAAAAAAAACAAAATAAAAATAATTATAAAAATTTAAAATTTATTTCCGGATAATTGTTATGTTTGAGTGTATGTGAGGGCAATTTTCAGTGTTGAATTTTATTATTCGTCACACTTTATATATTTTCGATAATATTTATAATATTAACATTAAAATTAAATTAGATTGAAATAAAAAAATTTTGGTTTGTTTATGATAATATGGGGGTCTTTTGTGTGTCTCGCTAAAAAAAAACAACAAAAAACAAAAATAATTGAAACAAATTGTACTTGGATTTTATAAAGTACACTTGAGATTTCCTGGAGGTGAAAAAATACACGAAAAAAAAAAATACAACACACCGCATTTATATTGAGAGAAGAGAAGGTGTGTTCAAGAATTTCGGAAAAAAAAATTTGCTATATTTGAATTTTCTTTTTTTAAATTTTTGGTTTTTTTTTGTTTTAACTTTGCCTTTATTGGTAAATTTTAATGTTACAATTGTTTAACTTTGCCCCTATGCCCATGTTCTGAAATCTTGTATTGTTTACCTATAATTTTGATTTTATTTTTTCTTGCTGTTTAACTCTGGTCGCTTTCTTTATTTGATTTTTAATAAACTAAATTAATGCCATTTAACCTTTGTGTACGAGAAAAAAAAAGTCGTGCTTTTTAACCTTTAAGTTTTTGTTGCCTTTTAGTTTTTTATTTCGTCTGTTTTGTTTTCTAAGGGGCTATTGTTTTTTTTTTATGGATTTTAAGGTTTATTTTTGTATGTATAAGGATTGAATCGTTTACTTAAATTAATTTTTAAATTAAAATTCAGTATATAAAAATATATAAAATTTTTTTTTTCGGGGTTTGGTATTTATGGTGAAGATTAAAAATATATGTATTCGATGAATGTAGCTGTGGGGTAGAATTATTGTACTTTTAATGAGAAATTTGAATTTAAAATTGGAATAAATTAATAATTATGTAATAAAAGAATATGTACGTATATTTTATGTGAATTGTTATTTTCTTATAATTTAATTGTAAATAAAATTGAATTTTATTAGAACTAAGTATGTATGCATATCAATTTATTGAATATTGTAATTTTATGGTTGATATAAAAAAACTTTTAAGTTATTTTTGTTAAAATTTTATTGTTATGACTAACAAGCTAAAACAGCTTATATAATTTGAGCTTAAGGTAGTATGTATACTTAATTTTGGTTTATAAAATATAATTTTCTATAATTTTGAAATTTTGTCAATGTATACTACAATATACGTTTTACAATTTGGGATAAAATTTTTAAAAAAATTAATTTACTTACTCAAAAAAAAATTTCGATTTAGAAAGTTTTCTTCTACAAAAAATACTGACCAAGTCATAGTCTTAAGTTTTTGATTAAAATTTTGTACATTTCATATTTTTATAGCAATCCGTACATATTTATAAAAACTATTTAAGGAGTGACACTTCATTGGACAATTTCATAATAATGACTAAAATGAGTGAATAATTATAATTTGTAATTTATTAAGCTACCAATATGCATGTTTTACGAAATTAAGTTCAAAGTTTAGATTTAATGTTGAAGAATTATTTAAATTTTTATTCTTTTTCTGCTTTTATTTCAGGCAACTATAACTGAGGTATTTTAATTAAATTTCGACAAATATACATAGGGTTTTAATGAAATATTAACCTCAACTTCAGGTCCATTCTCTTGTATAATGAGAATGTGAGACAAATTTTTTTTGATTTCAGGTCACTTGGTACGGTGACATTTAAATTAGTTTGCAAATTTTTCTATCAAAATTTATTATACTTACTCGTGTAGGCAGGTGTGCTGAAAAATTTATTTTAACAATATAAATTATTGCATTAGAAGTATATTTTAATAACTGAAGATTGAATTTGTACTAAAATTCACCTCCGTATACAATTTATAACATTTAATTCATTTTTTCCTGCTTTACTCCCCTTGGGAGCATAGGGCTTCCACAAAGCTTCTCCAACGGATTCTGTTAGGGGCCATTCTTTTTACTTCTGCCCATGCCATGTTAGCCTTGGCGATTTCTTTCTTTATTGTTCTTTGCCACGTATTCTTTGGCCGTTTCACATTTTTTCTACCTATGCGGATTCCACTCTAATACCTGTCTTGCGATGGTTTCAGGCGGGCGTCGCAATGTATGGCCTATCCATCTCCATTTTTTCTTCTTTATAACCCTTGCAATGGGTTCTTGGTGGGTTAAAGCTCAAAGGTCTGTGTTGCTGATTCGTCTGGCTCCTATTTATGAATACCTGCATTTTATTTGTGTATACATTTTTTTACTAGCCAAGTTTCGGAACCATACAATAGGACCGGCTTCACACATGTGTTGAATATTCTTAGTTTTGTATTCCTGAATATTTAATAAATTTTCAGTCATAACCTCAATCATCATTAAATTCATATACCATAATTATTTTTTATAAAAATTAAACTAGTTTACACATCCTTTGAAATTTTCATAAAAAAATTTTATTTATTTTTTTTTTTTAGGATCACATCCATTCTCTTATTTCATGTTAGATTTCTATTAAAAATATTCAAGGTTAAGGTTAAAAACAATGTTGGCTTGCTTTTTTTATGAACAAAAAAAAATTTTGCTAAAAATTTATGCAAAAATATTTTTTTTTTTATCAAGTTCATCAAAATTTATAACAATTATTTTTTTTAACTAATATTTATTATTAATAAGAAAAAAACTGACTTGAGCGATTTTTTTTTTTTATTACTATTTTTATCTTTATGAGACGACGTAACGTACGTTAACAACCGGTTTGTATAAATGTTTTTAATAATACTTAATACATACCCTAAGACGAAAGAATAATATTTGTACATACTTAAATTATTATAATGAAAAAAAAGAGCATAAAAAAAATTTCATTTTTATTTTATTCAATTTTCAATTTATGCTCTCTTTTGAGAAAATAAAAGCATAAAATCGTTCATGTGTCAAAATTACATCAGAAAATTCAACATTATAAAAAGGAAAATTTCCAAATTTGCTACAATTATTTTAACTACATTGTTATACATTTTAAGTTTTGATTTTCTTTAAAATGTAGGTAGGTACTTGCTTATACATGTTTGTATGTGTATTAATGTTAATGGGTATAGATATAATGTGTAATTTGCTATTTTTGTATTATTAATTGAAATTTTCTGTTTAATAGAGTGTACATATGTCTTTATACACAGTACCGGATTTATCTACAGGCATCCTGTACCTTATACAGCTTCGCTTAGGAAAGGGATCCAAAAAACAAAACTTCACTTTTGATTTCGATGCTGGAAACGAACAGCGTGAAATGTTTTGGAATTATTTATTCTATTTATTTATTCAATATTTAGTAAGAAGAGCTATAAAGTTCGTAAAATAATAATGCAATTTAGAAAGATAAGAAGAACTAACAATTACAACAGGTAATCGAAATACAACAAAAAAATTAAAAAAGATCAAAGTAAAAATTAAAGAATTTTGGTATCTATTGGTATACCATTGTAGATGGTAAAATTATTTGTTGTATGTATATATATCACCTTGATAGTTGAATCTAATTCGACGACTTTACATGTACATATTTTCTCAGCCTTTCTGGTTCTGTATGAATGAAGCTCAGTGTTTAAGTAGAACCATTTGGATTTATGTTATTAACAAACATTGAATTAGCTTGAATTGCTATACTACAACTAATTAACAAAATTATAAGTAACAATCTGTTGCTGAGTCCAGCAATTCTTCTAGTTTTAGTTAATTATGCATTAGTTTATTGTCGTCTGGTAAGGTTTTCATTAATTATAACGCCCAAATACTTATGTATATCCCCCATATCCTTTCTAAATCAGAATAATCAAAGTTAAATTTTAAAATATCTGCGCTTAAGCGGAATATATTTTGTTTTAATTAGTATTAAGAGTGAGCTTATCCTGATGAATCATCCATTAACGTATACTACCTTCTATTTTGAGGCTTGTATTAGCAGCATAGAATATGGCTTGTATTAGCAGCATAGATTTGAACTCAGCAAACTACCTACATATGTACAAGGACAGCAACGTGGTTAAAAGCAAACTTCCTTGTATCACATCAAATTCATATTTCTGGCTATAATTCTTCAGCACATCACATTCTGCCAACTGTTTTCTGTTACTGAAATAACTGCATTTGTATTCTTTTCCTTTTTAGTATTTTATACGTGCTTCTATATTTGCATTTATTCTCAATACTCCATGACTTAAAATTGTGCTTAAAGTAGCTGACATAATAAATCCGGCTATGTTTATACTTATGCATAAAAAATTTAAGAAATTTTTTGGACTCTTGTTGAAAAATTAAAATAAGAAACAAAGAAATAAATAAGAGCAATAATAAATTCGCAATGAATGCTATGCACCTTTTAAAATTATATTTTGATAATACATAATCAACTTATTGTTGTCTTTATAACATGATCGCCTTCTCAAGTATAAATTGTACCTACATATACTCGTACATATAATTACCCAACATAATAATATTGTTGAACAGTAATAAAATAATGTAGGTAGTAAAAACCTTACATATGACATTTCTATTCATTCATATATTAAAAAGAAATTCTCATAATAAAACTTATACCTCAAATTGTGTAATATTTCTTTCATTGTTTTTATATACCTATATACTATTGAATAAAAGAGAGAAATGAATATAGGGGTTATCTTAATATAAAAATTTAATGTGTATTATTTTTACAAAATGTAAATTTGGAGTAATTAGATTTGTTATAAATAATACCAATTGGAAAATTTTATCACACGTCTTTAATATTATATTTTAAATTTAAATAATCAATTTCGAAGACACCAACTTTATACAGAAAATTCATTTGAATTTGAAATATAGAAATATAGAAATAGAATCTGTGTGAGTTTCTGAAGTCTGTTATGTACTTTTACATATATGATTTTAGATAAGAATTATAACACTTGAATTATATTAAAATTTAATTTAAAGCTAAATAGCTTAAGTTTATTCAAATCTTATCTATGAGAGTCAAGCCATCTTTAATATTTTTCTTTAAAACAACAGAAGGTTCTGCCTCTTATATTACAGTTTTGTGTGTTAAATTCGACTGAAAATTATTATAAATGATTGTCCAAATACCTTAATACTCTCTAGTTTATCTAATGTGTAAAACAATTATGTATGTAAGGAAAAATATATGTAAAAGCCGCCAATCATTATTTGAATTAAAGTATAATATTTAAAAACTATACAAATGAAAAAATCCAATTTTATTATAAATGTACTCAGAAAAACTTAATTATATACCAACAAATTTAACTAATTTGTCAAATTAATGCTTTGTTTGCATAATATGATAACAAACGTTAAAAGTATAACAAAAAGAAAAATTATTTTTCCATGTTCACTTATTTCAGCGCAACCTGGGAAATATTTTTGCATACATTTTTTTTTTTTAATTTATGTTTTCCTAAATTTTATTTTTCTCTGTACACATTTGGCGGTACTTATTAAAAAAGTAACATTTATAATGTAATCAAATGTACTAAAGGTACACATAAATATGTAGGTACATATTGCATATCATAAGAAAGTTATAGCATAATTTATTTAACAAAAATATACAAAGGTTAATGTAGATAGGTGCTCTAAATATGGTATATAGAGGTGGATGAATGAATAAATAAAAAGGTAGTTGAATAATGAACGGATTTAAATTTTGTCATTTATTTGATTAAGTTCATTTGAAATATTATTTTGAAAATTTTTTCGTTTATGGTATAAATTTTTTTTTTTTCAGTTTTATGAGTAAAAGTGACTAAAAGGAATTCCAAACAACTTCTGTGCCCATGTGATGGTTGTTTTAAAGTCTAAAATCGCAAAAGTGAAATTAAGGCAATATTTCCCAAATTTGGGTTATTATAGTTCTCTTTTGAAATTAATGAATATGCGGTACTTTGAAAAGTCCTTAATTTGAAAGTCTGCTCCAATCTTGAAGATATGTATATGCCACAATAATTTCCGTGAATAAAAAGTTTCTTTAATTATTAGTGATATTTAATTCAGAAATTCAAAAATATTTCGTATACTTTTGAATTATGTGAAAAGTGAAAGCATTTCTCAAAATTGTAGAGGTTTAAAATTCCTTTTGGTCAACTTATAAATGTACTCCATTTACAATTAAATGAAAAATATTCAATTTTTTATGTTCTCTCCCATAATTATTAAATTTTTTTATTGCCTTGATTTAACTAAATTATAAAGGAGTAGGAAAATTTGCAATAATATTTAAGTAGTCTACATGTAATAACTGTAATTTAAATGATTAATATTAAGTACGAAAATTGTAACATTTAACAAAATAACAAAAAAAAAAAAATACTGTAGATTGTAGACTTTTTGGCACATTTATGAAGATTTTGAAAAAAAAAATTTGTATATTAGTACATTTTGTCTATTTCGTCTGTCCTCTAAATTATACACCATTGTATTATTGAGAATACTTAATATTTCTAGAGTAACATTCTTCGTATTCTCTCGTTTTTTCAAGTAAAATCTTTATAGTCGGGAAAATGAACGGTTTTGAACAATAGCGGCGCTCCAAAATCGGTTGTTAATTCTGTGAAAGCAGAATAAAATATTTTGTGATAAAAATACTGTAGTTATTAAGAAAAGTTAGCTCTTAAACTTGAAACATTAAATTAACCATAATCATGAACATGTTTTTCGGTAATTTTTCGGAGTAAATTCCGAAAAAAAACTAAATTGCTTTAGAACTTCTAACGCTCCTGACCTATTATATTACAAATTTTAACAGAACTTTAATTTTCAGTCTCTAATTTTTTCGGGCTACATACTTTCTTATCGAGAAATGGTAGCCTCATACATACCATAATTTAATTAAATAGCAATCTAATTCACTCTCAATGTTAGAATGACTTTATTTTTTAATTTTGAAAATTATTACTTTAAGTTCATCCTAAATATATGCAAAATTGTATAGAAAATGTGAGAATTATATTAGCGTGTAAGAACATCGTTTTCATTTTTGAAACCAAAAGCTAAATAAATACAAAAAGCTCTAGACATAAATTGCTTCAAAGGAAAATGTGCTATTTTACAAACTATTATGGTTTCAGCAACAGCATTTTCTTTAGCCTAAATACTTATTTGACTATTCAGTTTTTTTCTTTTTCATGCCTTTATAATATTTTATTGGTCATTATGAAAATTGATAAATTCATACATGTGCGATTACATTGGTACTGTAATTAGCGTTTAAAATTAATGGACTCGATTAAGAGAAAAAAAAAATTATAATGGAAAAATAATAATCAATTTTTGATTTTAATTATTGAAAATTAATTTCGGTATTTTTAAAAGAAAAGCAAAAATATTTAATCTTGTTAGGGTTTTGTAAGACTTTCATAAAATATTAAATGAATTTTTTTTTTTTTTATTTTATTAAATTTAAATGCATAGTTTTTGTGATTTTTGATTTTATTTTCTCCATTTAATAAAGAAATTATATAATTTCGTTGAAAAGAAATTTTCCATTTATACTTTTTAATATATAAGTATTATGGGCGGCTGGAATATTGCGTTGCGTTACGTTATTATTTTGTTTCTTATTATTGTTGTTGCCTTAATTTTAATTGATCGCTTTGAATTGATAAAATTTTTGAACTTATTTTAGGTGCAGCACTTTACTAACAATAATTATATTAAAAAAAATTTTTTTTACAGAAAACTGGTAAATTGCAATTCTCAATATCCATCAAATTCATTTAAATTTATTTATGTAAGGATATTATGTACGTTATGTATATATAAGTGAGATTATTATGTGAGTAAATTGTATAAGAATTGAGTATTAATTATATTTGTAATTAATTGTATCCAGATATACAAAATACTAAAATAGTTTTAACAGCAGAAAAAATGTATGGTGATAATTAAGTGCTGGAGCTCACGTAAAATTTGTTAATGCGGTAGGTATTGGTAATAAATAGCTTTATTAGTGAAAATTTTATGTATTGGTAAAGTAATCAATTGCAAATAGAAACTAAGTAACTATATAAGTTGGATAATTATAATTAAATTACAGTAATTTTCGATGGAGAATTTTTGCTATTTTCCCATAGATGTCGCTTCAGTCAAAATGTTTATTTTCAAAAATATGCTGCGTCATGACGTAGTGACGCTGTTTCATGACGAACAAGAGTAACGTTCTTCTGAGTGACAGACGAAGTATAAGAGTGTTAGGTTTAATGGCATTAATTAGATGGCATCTTAGTATTGTGCTTAGCATTGCAAATGATGTATTGCTTATTTAGGAAAAAATTGCAAGTAAATCATTGCAGGTTTTGGTTTTGCGAGTAGCATAATTTATGGTAGTGGGCATAAACAGAGTCGAGTTGAAGGAGATCTTTAAACAGAGTCGAGTCGAAGGAAATCTTGAGGGCAACCGAAAATAATTTATTTATTTCTTCAAAGCAATTGAATACATATTTCGGCAATAAAAGTGATGTTAAGGGATATTGTTATAGTGTTATATAATTAGTTATAGTGTTATATAAATATAGTATTGGGTTGCAAAATAATAAAGATATTTTCAGTACGGACAGAGTTATTGATAGACAACTCTGTCCGTACTGAAAATACAGCACATTTATATAAGTACTATATGTTTAGCGTATACAAATAAAGTGAAAGTGTTAGAATTTAATTCACAAATTTAATGAATTAATTTTGTATGTCAAACTTTTGTTTTTGTAAAAATGAAAAGTTTGAAAGTCGAAAAACACTTTCTGTTTGTTTTTTGTTAATTTTTTTTTTTATTGTTATAATTTAATTTGCAAATTTATTTCTCTATTTCTTAATTTATTTTTGGACTGCAAAAGCAAACGAATCACAAGAAATAATGATAAAAATTTTTAGTTTTCTTATTAAAATTCAAAATTGATTTGGTTTTAAGAGTTATTTTAGTTTTTAAATATGTGATCTGTTCAATTTTGTGAAATTTAATGCTCTAATTTAACAAAAGTTTCTATTTTGTATAATTTAATTTTTAGCATTAGTGCCAACGAAATTATATTTAATGTGTAGTTTCTTTAAAATTATTTTTTTTACTTTGTTTTTTTTTCCGATTTTTGTGCTATAATTGAAGGCGCTTTGTAGTGGTTATGACACTGTGACCTTTCAGTCAATTTCGACTTCCAGTTTCGACTTGTTTATTATCAAATATGCATGATGT